CCGTGAACTTTGCTGTTCAGCGTAAAGTTGGATGGGATTTATATTATGCCAAGAGACCACCTTGTTCAGAGGAACCTCTCAGCACTTCGATCATATTTTAAAGGTGTCCACAATAGATGGAAACAAGGAGTGACAGGGTGATTTCTTACGGCAAGCTTGGCACCTAGGCTACTTTCCTTCTGCTGTTTTTGAGCTTCCTGATACGGACTTTTCCTATGTCCTTTATTAGGTCTCCAACTTTTACAGAAACCTCTTCTTCTGCCTCTCAATTAAAGGTGACCTTAAGTTGTCTCTAAGAATGCTAAATATGGAAGGATCAAGGTGTGGGGGGGAAGGGATTCCCTCCCTGCCCTGTAATCTTTCTTCTTCTCTTGGTCATGCTGTGAAGTGTCTCTGCATACATCACTGTTTTTAATAAACAGTGAAAACAAGTCTTGTCACCTAAGTAGAAGTCCAATTTCTAGTTAGCTTTTTGCTAAGTAAAGCCAAAATTTTCAAGTTCAACTGGGAAACAACATTTCAAGTGAATGGTATTCGTTTTCAGTATTACACTTGCATAGTGCTACCCGTGCAGATAGCTAAAATGCCCTGGTGTAGATGTAAGACACTGCAAAATAACGTCGAAGGGCACGTACGCATTTCTTGTATAATAAAGTAAAAAATAGCTGTTATCACTGATTAAAGTGCTATATACTGGTTAAATAACCTGGAATGAGTTTGGTCCTTGGGAAGGAAACCGTGAGGGAGCAGCAGGCCCCGGGGCATTTGTTGAAGCCCTTGGCCTGCCTGTCGATGGCTTCCGAGGGAGTGGGGCCAGCAGGCTGGGGCTGGGTGGGGCTGGAAGGCCCCTCTGTAACTCCGGGGAGGGTTTCTGATAGTTACATCGATCTTGCAGTGTGCATTTTTGTGTCTCTTGGTCCTTTTTCTTTTTTAACGTAGGTGGCTCACATGACAAAAAGCGAAATCTGTCTTCAGGACACTGCGTTTATTGGGCCAGGACTTCTGGTTTTGGACCAGTACTTCAACAGTTTTGTTGATGAATATGTTGTTCTCTGGATAGCACTGGTAAGCATTTGGGGTTTGACTTTCAATTTGGAACATGCTTAAAGGAACGGATTGGGAACTGTCCCTGCCGTTCTGCTCTGCCGTTTCTGGCGTGCTCGGTTTTCAGCTGTCACCGCGGAGGGAGTGCCGGGATGCCATGTAAACGTGCGTTGTGGGAGCTGACTGGCTTGCTGTCCTTGGAGCAGAGATGTGAAAGTAAATTTGCAGAGCTCTCTTGTAATTATGCTTTAGTGCAGGTGGTCTGTTTAAATTTGTTCTGCGAAGTGCAGACTGGCAACCTCTATCAGACTTTGTTTAGTGCTGTTCGGGTTTGGGGGGTTGGTTTTTTCTTCTAAACTAGACCACTTGAATGGTAAAATGCTTGTTAAACTTCTCATTTGGTTAGATTGTGATTGAAGCGTAGCTGAATTTGTAGTAGGGACAATTTTTAAAAATACTTGGATTTTTTTTTAACCTGTTCTGTTTTGTTCTTTTGAAGTTCATATCCTTGTTTGATATGCTGAGATATGCCACTGGTGTATGCCTACAGATTGCTGCTCATCTTCATATACATGTCTTCAGAATTTCATCTCATCAAGCTCCTGAACAGGTTCAAAACCATAATGACTGATTAAACAGGTCAAGGACAAGCGAAGAAGCAGTTAGGGGAATGCTGAATGAAGCAGCCTCTCTTTTGGGAAGGCAGATTAAGCTTTTCAAGAAAACAGTTTTATGAGAAAGCTCGCTCTATCCCAGAGATTCCCAGATGTTAGAATTATGAAATACAGTGTCCTGCGGCTTCCACTGTGATCAGGACTTTTGGACCAGGCTGTATTTTCCCCGGTGCCCCAGACGTTGCAGCTGTTAGTTCACACCATGAATACCACATTTGAAACTTTTGCCATGTCCTGTTAAGTAACCTTAATTCCGTACTGCTGGTCTGGTGAAGGTAGATGGCAAACCACGGTGCTGCCAACCAGAACTTGAAGAGGGATTTCACTTTTTCCCTAGATCAAGTGACTGGACTTCTAGCATTAATTTCTAAAGTCAGATTGGAATTGCTGTGAGGCGATAGTCAGACGTACCAGTGAATACAGTACTGCATTATTAAGACTGGTGAAATGAGGCACCCATGACTTAAAACTACTTGTGAATCTCTGTTCTGGGGTTTCTAAAGAACAAGCTTCTGGATCAGTCGGAGGAAGGAGGTATAGCTCAGGAAGGTTTTCTTCTATTTCAAAACACTGTTATGAGTGCCTGTAGGAGCCGTGCGTTCTCTGGTGTCTGAGTACACAGCCTACTGTTACTAAATACAACTGTGGCTTGTATTTTCCTTCAAGGCCAGTTTCTGGTTTGATGGTCGTAGTAAGGTTTGCCTCATTGTACTCCACCATTATCTAGACCGTAGGTAGTTGCGTACTTGGAGGACAGTAGCTTTACCTAGCCTAGCTTCTATCTGTGAAACTGCACAAATGAATGACAGAGTTCACTGACTTAAGTGACTGTGACTGTTTGACTGTGACAATGCAACCCACCCATATGTAATTCCCTCTGAAGTAGATTTGCTGTTGCTGTGTTCATCTACCTTCTAATCTGCCTTGTAGCTATCACTGTACTTCATCCAAAACTGCACAGAACTAAAGCCTAATGTATAGTAAAACGCTCCAAAACAGACAGTCAGGCCTCCTGTCAGCCTTTCTCCTTCTCTAAACTGGCTAACATAATGTGCCTGGCTAGAGGGCTCCCGCTGTCATTAGAGAAAAGCAGAATGAAAGCAGTTTATTAGCTGTATGAGCAAATCATGATTTGCACACAAACCCTGAAGCTTAAGCTCCTTTAAGAGGTGCTGTTTGACCGTGATTTCTGTAAAAAGTTGTTGAATGTAAGTGTCCGTTACCACTTCCAGTTGCTGATCTGTAGCTGAGCTGTGAGTTCATAAAGTTCTTTGTGAACTGTACAATAAAGAATGCTATGGGTTGTTTTAAAAATGTTACCACTGCGGCTTCCTAGCTGCATGTTAATTCAAAAAGACTTCCTGAGGTGTTCAGGGAACTTTAAAAGTGGTGTATTCTCTGCTAAATGTGGAGGGAATAAAATACCATCGACCACATTCCTGCCTAAGAAGGACACACCGATACGCATGAGAGAACTGTCATGGTCACTGCCAAAGGCCCAGTGCTGTAAGGGACTGATACCAATTCCAAATGAATCCTACTGCTGCTTGAGGCTGGGGGAGGCAGCATCCACCCCTGAAGTTAACTTGAACCCAGGGCGAGGGCAAACAGAAGATAAGATGGTAAAGACCATTTCAGTTTGTCTTAATACTGTAAACAAATTAACCACCTGATGAAGACATAGACAGGGTGGGTTTTTTTAGAATGAGAAGGTTTGGTTCCCCGGAATGCTCAAAAATGCGTCATGTGGCGTAGTAGGTGTAAGCAGTTTTGAGGATGGGATTGAGGTATGCGGATGATTGGAAAGTAGTGCAGAAATGGGTCAGAAAAGCAGAAAGATGAGGCAATGCTAACAAATAAATCCAGAACCGTAAGGCAGTACTAACAAGTAACCTCGTATGGGAGACAGGAAGCAAAACTTGCCACCTGCATTTCCCAGCACCCCCTCACTGTGCCCGAGAGCGCCGCGGCCCCGCAGCGCGGGTGAGGGAGCGCGGCGCTGCCCACCGGGCGCTCGTGCTGCCTGGTGCTGGCCGCCTAACCCCTTCCCCACGGCCTCCCAGGCACGGGACAGAACAACGGGCTCCCGAACAGTCGCCTGTTCAGCTTCAGCTGCAACCAAACTGCTGACGTTTCTGTAAGTTAGCCGTCATCAGCCTGGCTCCTGCAGCGGGAGAACCGACAGGAAGGGACTCGGTTCTCAACCAAAACCGGTAGTACGCTGAGGAGAAGAAGCTGCAGGGGCTGGTTTTGAAATACATTGTTATGAAGACATCACATTTGTGCGTGTGGGTGTGCGGATGGTTTTTGTTTTACCTACTACGGTATTAAATCTAAGCATTGAATAGGTCAGGAACTGCCTAATTTGTAAAAGTGGATATTCAGGCGTAATGGTTTTCTGTAAAAACAAACTGCATGCAAGCTAAGCCGATTGTTTAATTTGTGCTGATTTACTGTAATGAGATACATGAAAGGTAAATGCTTTATCCTTAAAACGTAGGCCTCCCTAAATTGCTAGTCATTTGGAATTGCAAAAAGTAATATTCCGTCTCAAAGGCTTGTAATAACTTGTACTAAATAAATGAGCTAGATTACTTCTAGCAGTGGTCCTGCAAGGTCTATATACCCCAAAATGTAAAATGTTTAATTATGCTTACTTGAGCAGATGTCATATAAAGCTGTGACACTCAGCTAATTATTCAACTAAAGAGACCTGCTTTTTGGACAAACTACAGCAGTTCATAAATCTCTGACTAGTACAAAGCTATTACGACGCCTAGCCTAACAAAAGAGTTAACAACATTTACTTTAATTTCCCATAATACACATCATTAAACAATCTTTCATGAGCTATGTCATACTCTGTAAACTTCTTGTAACTGCTGATACGGCAGCAGACTGAATGTTGAAACTATGAAAATCTTGAAGTCTGCAGCTTGTGAAGAATGCTTCTATTTGCACAGTGTACCTAAGGGCCTAAAGTTATTCTCTAAAATCTGAGTAACGCACTTTTCATTAATTTGATTAATCGTTTATTAACTGTTACAATTTGGCATTATAACAAGTGAAACAATTTAAATAGTCCAGTACTACTGAAAGCAACTATTAAGTAGTTAAAGATGAATTAGACAGACAGTAAAATGGTTCTGGGTCCATAGTGCTCCCCCCAAAGTCATACATTTACTGATATACGTTCTTACAGCATTATCTGACACAAGATTAGAACAATCCACAAAAGCGTTTAATAGGAACTTTAAAACATTTAAATCACAACATTCTTCTCCATGGCTAATGCCTATACCTGTATCATGTTACTTAGGTACAAGTTGTTTCTCCACTGAGCCATCAGAATAACATGGACTGAAGAGACTTGCGAACAGTTGCCATCTCCTGCTGTTGCTGTTACAAGAAAAGGAGATAATACTGAACAAATGCTGTATCACTAGGATTCCTTTCAGCTAATTAAAAATGAATGTCAAATGACTTTCCTATAGAACGTTCTGGTGTTGCATTTAACTAACTGCTTCACAGATCTGATACTTACTGTGTCCATCATAATCTTCTTCTGCAACATAGCCATCTCCTTGCGAAGTTCGCTTTGTGCTCCAGCTAGAAGATTTTCATTGCTCTTCTCCAGCTCTTCCATGCTCTGAAGTTAAGGATAATCTTAATTCAGAACTGTTGAATGCCAAAGGGTTAATTTAAAACAAACAAACCATTATTCAGACTACAGTTTAATTTTTACAGCAGCAGGGGTCACTGATACTCGATGAGTTTTGTCACGAACTCGACAGACAAGCCATACAGGGCTTTGTATTCCGGTCCACGTTCCTGTTTAAACAACAGGGACCCTGGGAACCAACACGGAACCTGCGGAGGAGCCGGGCCCCTCCACTCCGCCTCTGGGCGGGCGCACCGAGGGGGCCTGCATTGCCCTGGGAGTTCCACAGGAAAAGATGAAACAGACGTCTGTCGGGGGTTTGATGCTGTGACAACCTCGGGGATGTGAAGGACTATAAAACCCATTACGTTTCCTTCTCTTTGCACACTCCTCCTCACATAAGCCAATTAAAGCTCACTGGTTACCTTCCCTTTTGTACCTACAATTATGCCGAACTCTGTGTATGTGTGTAGTTGTATTTTTCTTGACTCGTACTTAGTTAAGCTTATTTGAGGATTGATTTCTACCTTTTGATCTTTTTTGAGGAGAAAAATCAAAGTAATACTTCACCTTCTGTTCAGTTTTTCATCTTTGATGAAGACATCTTCAACATTTTGAAGCGGGTATTATTTATTAATGCTTCTGCAATATCCTCTGTAAATTTCTATTATCTTAAACTAAGAGCTGCTCTCTTTCAGCTTTATTTTTTCAAAGCTACCAGACTTGGAAAAAAACCTCAAACGTTACTAACCTTAGTTTCAAAAAGGGACCAGTTAGGAAGCGACTTGAACAGAAAGCGAGGTTTGCCCACCCCATGCACCGGTACGCCCGGGGGGCCACCCAGCTGGAGGGCAGCTCTGCAGGAGCGGGCCCGGGGCGTCCTGGTGGCCGCCAGCTTGGAGAGGAGCCAGCGCGTGCCCTGGGTGCAGAGGTGCCCAGCGGCTTCCTGCGCCGCATTGGGGGGGGGGGGGGGGGATCCTGGGCGCTCTGCTCAGCGCTGGCGAGGCCACCGCTGGCGCGCTGCGTCCCCACCCGGGCTCCTCGGGACCAGAGAGACCCGGACGTACCGGCCGGAGCCCAGCAAAGGGCCGCAAAGGTGATGAGGGGACAGGAGCATTTCTCTTGCCAGCGCGGGCTGGGGGAGCCGGGGCTGCTCAGCCTGGAGAGGAGAGGGCCGGGGGGGGATCTCACCTAGCTGCATGAATCCTTGGGAGGGGGCACGCAAAGAAGACAGCGCCAGATCGTGAGGTGTCCGGGGGCAGGCCCAGCGGCTACGGGCACAACGCTGAAACAGGAGGCTCCCTCCGAACATCAGAACACCTTCTCACTGTGAGGGTGAGCGAGCGCTGGCCCGGGGAGGCTGCCGAGCCTCCATCCTGGGGGTACTGGGAAGCCCTCTGGGGGCTGGACCAGGCGACCTCCTGAGGTCCCTTCCGACCTCAGCCCTTCGGCGGCTGGTGCTGCGCCTCTGCGTTCATTACAAATCCAGGGAACTCGGGGTACCTTCATTTTCCTCACAGTTTTAATACCTTACTTAGAAAAATAGTAGGGGAATGAAATTCTGGGAATAAAGTGTTTTGCTCTTAGTGTAAAATGACAGGGAAAAGCATTTTTTTTTTTTTTTTAAATTTCATCACCAAAAAGTCAAATTTTAGAGTAGTACTAGTAATCATTTTTTGTTTGCTGTCCGGTTAACTACTCTCTGTTAAAAAACCAAAACACAGTTGATCAGTATGAATTGCGTGTTTAAAATACATTATTTCTGTAAGAACTGTGGTGCTTGTAGGGACTCCCAGCAAATACAAAAATTATGCGTGAAGCAACAGGAAAGTTAAGCAAGACTGATTTCGCCAAAAATCCTTATTTCCATCAGATTCTTGATGCAGACGTTTTAGCGAATGCTCACCTTGAATACCTGGTTACAAAAAGGAAAACCCTTTCTAATGAACGTTCCTTAGGAAGAGATGAAGGGAGTTCTAACTGGGAAATTTTAAGGGAATTACCACTGATTTTCTTTAGTGGTCACTTGCCTTACATGAAGCAGCAACAGCTAAAAAGGTTAATGATGGAAGAAACCTGCTATCTAATTCTCATCGCGGGGGATGCACCCGTTAGCGGTCACAAGCTTTGTGCAGGTAAGTTCTGTTCGCAACTGCGACCGCCAGCGCACCTGCCAGCAGTAATAAAAGCAGCAAATTGAAACCTAAGATGTATTTTTAATAGATCATTGAGTTTTACTTTTTTAAATACGTAACAAAAATCTAAGGGAATAATTAAAACAAAATCCTGATGATTTAACTGACCTATATAACCTTTAAACTAGTACAAAACTGTGTTCCGCCTAGAAAGTGTGCTGTGCGGGTTGTGGTGAAACATTTGAAACAGGGGAGCCAGTCGGGTCCCTGCGAGAACACATTTAACTACATAATTTATTAAATGGCTGCAATCTGTGTGCATGTTCTTAGCAAACAAGGGAAAGATACTAACAGGAATATTCATGCGAGGTTGCCGTTTTCCTCAGATTTCTTAAATCTCTGTATTTCATAAAAGCTGAATTAATACAGCTTTCTTAAGTGATGTGGTAAGGATCAGCAGCCTTCTAAGAAGAAAACTTACCGTACCTTTAAGAATTGATCGTAGAGTTGCTTAATGGTTTTCAGCCTCTGACTTTGAACTATTCTTGCCTGCTGAAAAACTTTTTGTTGCTGACGAAAGACATTCTGAAGCAAAAGGAAAAAAAAAAAATTGCATTAGTTAACCAAAGGCGCTTGGACAGCGACACTGTTGTCATTTAATGGAATCAGAAATTCTGCCTTCACTGGAGATCTGGGTCATGTAATTAGATCCCTGCCTGGAGAATTATCCGTGTTCTCATTAATGAAAGAAAGACTGAAGACTGGATTAAGCTCTGAGTCACCTCCTGAGGTCCCTTCCAACCTGAATTATCCCTGTGAGATCCCGTGGGGATTGCTATCCAACGCAGCTCTCAGGGGTACCCCAGGGAAATGTGCTGCCTAGGGAAAAGCAAAATTTGAAAATGTGTTGGGAGCAGCAACATCATGTGGTTACATTCCACTGTAAAGCTCCTACCCCCTTGCAATGATCCAGTTCTCATACGTGTATTATATGCAGGCATATTTTTAAGCAATGCATGCTTAAAATGCATTTATTTTTCATTTACTCCTTTGTTCCCTGAACCCAAAGACTACGAATGCGCAGAAACAGCACACGTCTTTCTTCTCCATAAATGGTCTTGGCTTTTCTCAAGCTGGCCTACAGCATCACTTTACAATTTGTAAAATTGCAAGGAAGTTAATAAATGCAGCCCTCTTCACTTTAAAATATATCCCAAAACTTAACATTTGCAGTTTGAGAGCCACCAAACCTGAATTAATTTTTTTAATCAAGAGGCAAACAACCCTATGTTTGTTTAAACTAGATAAAGTGTTTTTACATTTCTCGAGTGCCTAAACAACAGTATTTCCTCTTTGTGAAAACACCGTGAAACTCATGCCACGCTGGAAACCCACCGTTAGTTTTTCTTCCTGCTCTTCTGCTTTCTGCACATCTACATCCCATTGCTGAAATAAAGTCAGGAACTGCTGGGAGAACTCATGATTGAGCTTCTGCCTATAAACAGACACTAGCTGTAAGTATGACAAACGCTGCGAAGAATTACAAGGAAGGCTAAGGTTCAACACACACACGGAGCAGAATAAAACGAGCTGGCATAGGTAAAGAAGGCAGCTGTTTTGACACCTGGCCATCACTGGATATTGTAGGCTTTGAAAAACTGAACACACATACACACACTTTCTGAGTGTGTGTGGATTATATACATGTAAGGAGACAGGCCTCATATACAAAACTCAGATAAAAAAAAAAAATTACAACAACTTCTCTTCCTGACAGTGTCAGGTTTTCTGAGATTTACTGATTTTCTAACCCAATTACAGATCTTGGCTTTAACAGAAGGGGTTTATAATGAAAAAATAATTAGCTCATTCATTAGTTCATTATGCTCTACTTTCTCTATGTAAATGTAAATTTTGTCAATGCAGGTTTCAAATATATATATATATATATACACACATATATATATAAAAACCACCAAGAAAGTTACAAGCTGACTTTCAGTTTTTAGCTGTCTCATTTTTCATTTACTCTACCTGTACTATCAGATATAGTAATTAAATATGCCTTAAGATGCAAAAGGAAGGTAATGTAGAGTGAAAACTATTTACAATGTGAAAATAAAATTTTTTTTTTTTCTTAACCAGAATGACATCATAGAAGTTTTACTGAACATTTTCAGTTTTCAGGTTGAAACAAAAAATTCCAACTGAAGTGGAAAAAATAAAAACATTGGTTTACAGGACGGTCATTTTCCATAAAGATAAAACAAAAGTAAAACCAGCTCTTTAGCATACCTTGCTCTCAAAATTCCAATTCTTAAATTTCCCCATTCAACAGAGAAAACACTGTGCCAAACTCGTGCTGTCAGTTTAACCAGGTGGACACAACCGAGGCAGCAGGCACAGAGGACCCGAGCAGCTGCCTAACCAGTGGATGCACTACTTGCTATTTGGCTGCAAGAAGCTGGCCCAGCTATCCGTGCTGTGACACGAGAGGGAATCTGACTTCACAGGTTTGAACAACAAGGGTAGATGTTACCTTTGCTCCTGCTGTGTTTTCCAAACTTGTTCAATCTTCTGGTTACTGGTTTTGAGTGAGGCTTTTGTATACATTTCTAACCGTTTCCTCTTAGCTATGAGAGCCTTGTTAATATCAGCTAAAAATCAAAGAAAACTTAGCGATCAGGCACGCCGAGATACACTGCGTCTTTTATTAAAAGTGCTGACGAGTTACACTTGGGGGAAGCAAAGGAGGTGTGCTCTAAGCTCCTGCCCTGGGCCCCTGGCTGCCGTGGGCGTCCCTGGGCCTGCCGTGGGCGCCCCTCGGGCTGCCGTGGGCGTCCCTGGGCCTGCCGTGGGCGCCCCTCGGGCTGCCATGGGCGTCCCTGGGGCTGCCGTGGGCGTCCCTGGGCCTGCCGTGGGCGTCCCTCGGGCTGCCATGGGCGTCCCTCGGGCTGCCATGGGCGTCCCTGGGCCTGCCGTGGGCGTCCCTCGGGCTGCCGTGGGCGTCCCTGGGCCTGCCGTGGGCGTCCCTGGGCCTGCCGTGGGCGTCCCTGGGCCTGCCGTGGGCGTCCCTCGGGCTGCCGTGGGCGTCCCTGGGCCTGCCGTGGGCGTCCCTGGGCCTGCCGTGGGCGTCCCTCGGGCTGCCGTGGGCGTCCCTGGGCCTGCCGTGGGCGCCCCTCGGGCTGCCATGGGCGTCCCTGGGGCTGCCGTGGGCGTCCCTGGGCCTGCCGTGGGCGTCCCTCGACCTGCCGTGGGCGCCCCTCGGGCTGCCGTGGGCGTCCCTGGGGCTGCCGTGGGCGCCCCTCGGGCTGCCGTGGGCGTCCCTGGGCCTGCCGTGGGCGTCCCTGGGCCTGCCGTGGGCGCCCCTCGGGCTGCCGTGGGCGTCCCTGGGCCTGCCGTGGGCGTCCCTGGGCCTGCCGTGGGCGCCCCTCGGGCTGCCGTGGGCGCCCCTGGGGCTGCCGTGGGCGCCCCTCGGGCTGCCGTGGGCGCCCCTGGGGCTGCCGTGGGCGCCCCTCGGGCTGCCGTGGGCAGGGCGGTGAGTGCTGCTCCCCCCTGCACGCGGGCCGACACCCGGGCTCTGCGGCTGCCACTGCTGGTTGCCCACCCCCAGCACCTGCTCTCGCATGTGCTCCGGGCGCCCCCTCTCTCGCGGGCCAGCCCGAGTGGGAGCCCCCCGCAGGGGGCTCCGCTGGGGCCCCGGGGCGGTCGGGACCCGCGGCAGCTGCCGCGCTCCCGCCACCGGCCCCGGGCCGGGCCCTGCCAGCCCGCAGCGGGTGCCCCCGCGGGCCGGCACAGCACCCACGCCAGCGGCCCACGCCGCGCCCCCACAGCCCGTGTCTGCCCGGCGCGCAGGCTGCGGGACCCCCGCCCGAGCCTGCCCCGCAAAGCCCGCCTTAGGTCAGCTGTGCGGCCGCCCGAGGGCCCGCCCACAGGCCCCAGGCCCCCAAGGAAATTAGTTATGCCGACACCTTTTAAATTCTTTTTTTTTTTCTAGTAAAACCACACGCTTCAGGGCATTATTCAAATCGCTTAGATTTTAGAAATACAGTTACTATGTGATTACTATCACTGTGAACACGTTGAATAAAGGACAAACTTTTTCATACTTTGGAGAGACTTTGTACTTTTTGAAAAGTATTCAAGTTAAAATAATTATTTACATTTAATTTCATAACGTAATTTAATTTACATTTGGAGAGTTAAGAGACAAGCTGCAGATTATGGTTAATACAGCAATTTCCTTTCCTTCTCACTGCAGATTTCAGGAAACATCTGTCAAGCCCCTCTCTCTAATTTGCCGAGGCACCTGCCCCTGGCTAATGCCAAACCCATTATTTTTGAGCAGACAGCATCCCTTCTCTGACCTATTCATTTTCCTTCCTTCCATCCTATTTTTGAGCCTCCGGTAACAAGCAATCCAAGCCTTTTAACACTGAAATCCTCCTCCTATCTAGATTGCTAGATCTGCAGTAGCATTCCAATACGTACCTGACCAGCAAAAGAAATTCTTAATTGGTGGATTAAGAAATTCCTTGAACTCCTCTCTCACCTTAAGATTTACATGCAAGTCGTGACTGTGTAGAGCATTTTCTTACACCTACAATTCAAGTATTAACTGGCTGTTGAGTATGCAGCACTGGCATTAAGGTGGTTTCCCTCCCTTCCATGGCTTTCTGATGCTTTGCTACACTGATGTATTATTATACATTCTTTACAAGTGAAGTGTGTTTTTTCTCTAACCTATTAGCTATCTAGAATTCAGTTGCAAATTTAACTGTAAGTAAAGCCATCTGAGGATCTGATTGTGACTAAACTAAATCCAGCTAGGTGACACACAAATCTCCCGTCGCTAGACGCCTGGCATTACTTACCCTCGTTCTGCAGCGCTTCTAGAAACTTGTCATCTCCTGCCTCGCTGCTGAAGTACTCTTTTCTGCTTATTTCCTGTTCTCTAAATTTCTGAAGGTGTGGAGCACAGGCTACTCTCTAGCTCGTTCTGTGTCACAACTACAGTCTACTTCCAAAATTTCCTGTCTAGAATTAGAACTACTTGTTCTATTTAGCTGCTTGTATTAACATTCACATGCCCCTAATTTCTCACTCAAGTCTCCCTGGTCTCTTCTATGTCATTGTAACAAAAAACTAAGAACAACAGCTAACTCATATTGTCATTTTTTGCTACAATGTAATCGCTACCTCTTAATCTTAAAATCAGAATTGATAATCAAAAGCCCTCATGCATCTTTCCCTTTTTCCTTTGCCATTACCTACACTAATATTTACATCTCATTTTATATGCTGTTATTCCCTTCTCTTCTTTCCCTTTGATCTACTTAGATAAAACTTTTTTTCTAAAAACTGGCTTTTTTATTTTTTTTTTCATAAATGCTGAAAAATGCTACAAAGACCAGTCATTTTACGTAAATCTTATGGTAAGGAATTTCACAATTTAAATATTACTTGTGTTTTAATTTATTAGAATGTAAATGTTCTTACCTCCAAATCTTTCCAGCATATTCTGTACTTCACCCCTACAAAAGTGTTTAAAACATTTATTTGCCCGCTTTCTGACTTTAGAATAAGACCTTTTGTATAAGCTTAAAACTAATTTTATTCACACGCCTGTTACTTGTAAGCAGTGACAGAGCTGCTGCTGTTCTACAATATAAAAAAAATGCACTCCTCCTGTGAGAGATCTCTTTTTTACACTAATTCTTTTGGAAAAAGAAAAAAAAATATTACTAGAACCTATTAACTTACTCCCCAGTAAAAAGGCAGTATTAGGCATTTAAAGGGTCTTGAGTGAGGGAGGAGTGTAAATAAAATTGAACGTTCCGTGTACAAAAATAAAACACAAAAGGTATTTGGAACATCAAATGAAAACAAGTCCATCAGTTCGCATGACTGGCACAGTAAGAAAAATCCAAGACAAATAATATCAGGGTAGTTTTTACAACACCTTTAAGATAAGGCAGTGGTACCATAGCTGACAAGTCCAAAAAGGGACATGGTGGGTAAAGAAAATATTTATCTTGTTTTTAGATCTTCTTCTCCACAGGGTATCACTTTCCTCTTTGAAGACTAAAAAAAGTATCTTTAACTCAACAGCCATAATCTTGCTGAAAACTATTTCAACATACACTTTTTTATTACATTTACACTGCCCATAAACACTATTTCATAAGATTTAGCCCTAAAAATTATTTATTTTTCATGCAATAGTTGGATCATTTAAAGTACTGTTATTATCGTCAAGCCACTAAGGTCAGAGGGAAAAAAATAATGAAATTATGAACAATTTAGGATAAAACTTAAATCATCTTTTGAAAGAGATAATTTTAAGAACTTACACAAATATATCAATTTTTTATGCATGTTCTAAAGTATCTACAAAGAGACTGCAGAATTACTCATTTTAAAATGTTACATTTTCTTTTTTTATCTAAAACTACTGTATTATGTCACCTGATTTTTTAATCAAATACTAAAACTAACCCAAGCAAAATAAGCACAATGAGTTACTGAAATTGGTACCTATTTAAGACTTACTTATTTTGGAAAAAAAAAAAAAAAAAAAAAAGAAAAAGAAATCCTAACCTTACCCCACATCATCTGGAACCACATGAGTAGTCACCAAAGGTCTTTTCTTTCCATGCTTGTCCATTACCGGTGTTTCACCTTAATACAAATTTCAGAAAGATTTACAAAAATATCTTATATTTTGTGGGGGTAATTTAAGTTACTAAAAGTGTAATTCCTTTTCTGTAATGCCACTTCTCTGAACCCGTCTCATGGGTCTCAGTTCTCATACATAACATGTGTAGCTAAAACTTTGAATCTAGAATTGACAGATGGTGGTGAATTATTCTGCAAGGCTGGAGTTGAGCTGGCACTGCCTGGAGTTCCTCTAGACTGGTCTCAACCAGTTTTTATTCTTCTGCCCACTACTACACAATTACTCCCAACTCACAATATAATAATCATCAGAAAGTTAAAAATAATCCAAAAATCGAAAAAGCCCAATCTGTAAGAATTTAATTTTACTGTAAAATAAGTACAGAAATTGTGTACTCTGATCTTTAAAAAAGCAAAATCATAAATAGACAAATAAATTCTTTCCAGAAAATAAAAATCCTTGGCTGTCAGATTTTTATTAAGGCTATTAAGGGAGGGGCAGGAACTTAGTCTGAACAAATGAAGAAGGGAAGAAATTAATAGAAACAAAACCAGAGAAAATAACTAAAAGACAAAAATCCAGAAACAGAGTTATATCAAATTTCACAAAAAACTATCGTGATGAGTAAGAACTGCATTTTTAAGTAAAGTCCACTTTTTTATGACACTCTCTCAAACATGAATCCCTTGGTTGACATTTTTCCTCATCTTTCTCTGCCTCTTCCTCTTTCTTTATTTTGGTTCAGATTCTTCCTGAAGTATTCTTAACCCTGCCAGCATTAATAAGACTCCAACTACCGTACCTGACTCGCACTCCTTACAAGCAAACAGAGCTCTTCTCTTCTATCCTTGCCTCAACCTTGTATGCAGCCAGGTGACAGAAGGATATGGCATTAAAATGAGGTAACAAAATGATGTAACAAGATCTGACTCTATTAAAGACTCCACCTATAATTCTGAGACATCACAGTGCACTATACAGCTTTTCTTTCATGTTCTCTTCTCCTGCCAATCAGAATTATACAGTAGGAGGCTAGCTGTCACAAACATTATGAACCACTCAGACACTCACTAACACTGAAGTACCTTCATTTCTGCTCATAGGCAGAAGTACTATAAACTTTGTGTTTTAAAAACAACCCCAATCATATAAGCACCTTCTCTAATATCTTCCTCTGATCCACTCAACTCTTTTCTTCCCTCCTCAAAGTCATAGGCAGGTATGGCTTGATTTTCCTGTGCTGCTTTACCAGCTTTGCCTCCATGCTTTCTTCCCGATGGTGCCATCAGATCCTCTTCCGACTGAAACAGTATGTTGTATTTGTTAACGTAACTTTCCCCACAATACCTTGAAGATAAGTATGTTTTCATGCTTACATTGACCTGTTACAGACACCTATGTAACAGTCTCCATCTGTAAGGATATTTGAGCAGTCAAACTTCCAATTTTGAGGTAATCCACAGGATTACCCATCAGTGGTGTTTTTAAGAACAGGGTAAACATAATCAGGGCTAGCAGGAACAAAATTGATTCTGCTGAAAAAGGAAGAAAATAACGCACTTTCTTAAGGTGCCTGCCTGTTTGGCTTCCATAATGTTTATGATGTATTTTAACATATCCCAGTACTGAATTTCCAAAAAGATATGCCAATATTCTATTTTACAAAATGCAGAAATCATAAAGAACACTGTGATTCTACAAGCCATCCCACACTAGAGAGACAAATACACACACGTGTATGCCATTTTTAAAAATCCTGGGCAACTTTAACTTTCTGAACCATCTTTATTTATACCTATTATGTCTCTGCATTCTATATCAGTTTCTGTATTTGTAAACATTTTACAAATACACTGCCCTCTTAAAGACACAATATTCCTTTAATAACACGAATTTTCATATATTCTATGTATTTTTATAAATATTCAAGGAGTAAAATATCTATTTAGAAGGAAAAGAGCACAGCTGTAATCATTAAATGCATGAATCACAAAATAGTTTTTTCTTTAGCACTTTATCAAGAAAAATAGTATACAAATACAACAGGAAATAGCAAGCTTCTGAATCCTTACTATTTCTTTTTGCTAGCAAGAGGTATGAAGCATTTCAAGTGTCACATGACACATACTTGTAAAAATCCTTCAAAAAATAACAGAATTATTTGGAAGATGGAAAGAAACTGAAAAAAAATATCAGCTGCAAGTACCCTGTTTCCAAACTGAGCAAGATGTGACTCAGCAGTGGATAAACTTCTCATTTTAGGCACAATTCAATACGTCTAGAAATATCAGTAAGTTTTCCACAAGCCAGGGCAAAGATAGATCTGAAAATTAAGTTCACACACCGAAACTGAGAACTCCAGTAAAGGTCTTTTAAATTTCCAGGACTGTGAAGTTCCCACATTAACAGCTCTCTCGCACACCTGAGTTTCCAATTTCTGTTTTTTGAATCATTTGTCCATAGCTATGAAAATGTTTTTTTAACCACGTATTACATAAATATATACAATATGATCACAGTAACCTACCAAGTAAGAAACACCGCTTTTTAATATCCAGCTTTTTCTGTGGTTGATATTTCTCTATATAGCATGAAGATTTTTAGACAAGTTTCATGAAAAATGAAACCAACACCTCTTTAAATTACTAACTGCAAAATCAAAAGCTCTTGCATTAAAATTATCCTCAAATGAGAGAAAATCTTCCAAGACTCATTCCGCTTTTCAACTACTGAGGCTGCTGAAAACATGATGCAAGGAGGAAAAGTACTGGTACAGCATTGGCTGTGCACATCTTCGTGCTGCCAAACTGCAAGTATTTATTTCATCTTACATATGAGCACTTTTCTTTCTACCGAAAATCAGTATAGAAAGCAGAACTCCTCAGTTCCTCCATACACTGCGAAACAACCTTGCCGTCTCACAAACCCATACAGCCTTCGTCCATCCCGCGTGGCTACCTGCTTTAGCTGACAGAAGTACCTTCAAATCACAGTTGTGTATTTATCAACGATTTTCCAGAGAAACCCGCTTCCGTTTTTCACCCTGCCCAAGAAGTTGTGAAATAAACCGGTAGTTGTGTGACTTTCCTACGTGGGGCTTTTCACCATGGGGGCCCCACCCGTTACTCCCCCAGAGCGGCAAGGGCGGCTTCGCCCCACACCTCACCACTACGGGGTTTGGGGGCGACCAAGGCTGAGGGGCGCTGCGGTGAGCTGTCCCCGTTCCTACTCTCCACCCCAACGCCTTCCACCGCTCCGCCTCTGCCCTTCCACCGCCTGTTCCCCACTCCCGCCGCCTCCCACGCAGCGGACCCACCGGAGACAGGGCGCCTCGCACCCCCCCGCAGGCAGCAGGGAACACCGGAGCGCCCCAAGCCCCCCCACACCCGAACTCGCACCAGAGCCCCTCGCAGCCCTCACGCCTCTCCCCGGCGACAGAGCCCGACAGGCGCGACAGGACGCGGCCCCGCCTCAGCAGCTCCCACCGCGAGCGAAGGGCGGGAAGCGGGGAGAGCCGCACAAAAGGGAGGGGGCGCATGCGCAGTAGCGCCCCCCGCCGCGCCCTCAGCAGCGCGGCCGGTGGGCAGGGCCGGGCGCCTGGTGCACCGCCGGCCTTAAACTCGCTTCAACCTCGTCTGCCTTTATCTATTTTTAGTCTTTTTTTCTTTTTTTCTTTTTTTTTTTTTTTTTTTTTTAATGGAAATGGCTTTAATTTCTCATTCAGACGATAAAGCCTGCAAAAGAAGTGCTCTGCTGCGTATGTAGGTTAGAGTATGATGCGAAGGGCTGATTTTTCCATCAGTCAAGGCAAACAGGCGATGTTTCTCCAGTCAAATTAATTTTACAAACTCAATGCTCTATGTTTCAGGTATTTCTACTCACAGGATTTTCTCTCCTCAGCCCATTAAGGTATTTGGCAAGGCTGAGGGGGCCAGCCAGGAGCCGGGGGGGAGGGGGGCACAGCTGAACCTGAACCACCTGAGATACTCTGCAGCATACAACGTCAGGCTCTGCAATAAAAGCTGGGGGTTGGTATTTTCCACAGCATACAACGTCAGGCTCTGCAATAAAAGCTGGGGGGTTGGTATTTTCCACAGCATACAACATCAGGCTCTGCAATAAAAGCTGGGGGGTTGGTGTTTCCCACAGCAGCCAGTGCTCAGAGACGGGCCGGGGCTCAGTCTGCTTCAGGGAGGTGCAACAGGGGCTCAGCATGTCCCTTTGCAGCACTTGCCTTTGTGTTTCTTCCTCCCCCTTCTTGCTTATTAAACTGGCTTTGTCTTGTGGGTCAAGTTTTTCCTCACTTTGCCAGTTCCCTACTCCATCCTACTGGCAGGAGCCAGTGGCTGGGCACTCAGCTGCCAGCACAGAATTTGCTGTTCACATCTTAGCCTAGTTCGTTCACCTGCTTTTTTTCCAGGTACCACGCACGTAGATCGAGCAGTGATTTTCAGTGAATGCTTATGCTACACCTTTTGAATTCTTATTGCTGTAGTGAAACAACATGAATCTACCTTCAAAACTTTCCTTAAACAGAAAGGAATTGCAGTGACAGCTGAGCTATCTATGCAATCTGATTATTTATACCTAACTTCAGCAGAAAAACTGTCTTAAAATTTCAACCAAGCTTTTTCAACTATTATGATTAGAATGTCAAATAATTTTTTAGAAAACAGATCCTAGTTAAACCTGAGTCTACCAAACAGGATGAAGTGTAAAAAGCTAACATTTTCTTTTATTTCTTGAAATGTCTCATTTTCTGCTAGTCTGAAGTACTCTAGGTTTAAACTACTCATTTATATTCCACGTTTCAGCATAATAGATATTGCTAGCATGAAATATAACCTTAATAATTAAAAGTGCTTGTATTTTTACAATGCTCAAAACTTTGATTCTACTTTAATATTAATTTGAAGCACGAATGGATTCTCAAATCATTACTGTTGGAAGTTTTTTTAAGGGAAAAATAACGTTTAACATAAGGATTCATACACATTAATGGCTAATTTATCAAAATGTGTGAGTTATGTTTTACTTTAAAACAGAAACAACAGACAAAACTTTTATCACATTTTAGTTAATTTCAAAGCAATCCAAGTATCTTACAATACATATGCACATACATTTTGTACATCATCTGATTACAAAAATTAATGCTTTTTTGAATACTGCTATTACAATTAACTGAAGTTATACCACCAAAAATTTCTGCTTGAAAAGATTCAGTATTTTCCCACATAAAACCACACTATTCTGATGTCTCAGCAAAATACAGGGCCGAACCCTGTTAAATTTAGAAACACTAAAGCTTCAGATGTCAGTAGGAATATTTTTCTGAAGTGAAACACTGCTCCTGCACATTGCTACATTAAAACAGTTTGTTACCCATTCATATAGAGAGGCACTTTTGCTTTTATATTTACAGTGCTTGTAAAATACTATACCTTGATCATTTTCATTTAATTACAATCCTCTCTTTATAATCAGGCCAAGAAGTAACACCATTGTTTTCTTTGGAATATAATGCACCAGATATAAAGTATCTTTCAAATAATATTTAGTTGTCCTATTACCGTGTATTTTTTTATTAGCATGTATTTCTTCCAAATCCCAATTAAGTACTACAAATAGGGGGATGAATTGTCACTGTGCTTTAAAGAATGTCAACATCAATAAACGTATCCTAAATCTAAAATGACAAGTTACATAACTCTTAATTTTCCCATAGGGCTGAAAAAAAAGCAGCAACAACAGAAATTTGCAAAATGTTCTGGAACGCGAGATCAAGGACCTGTTAAGCTGATCCCAAACAACTTTGCCTTCCAACATTTTATTTAGTTGGCAACATCCACTGCAATAAATGCAGTTACATTTCTTTAGTTAACCCTTTTTATAAAAAAGGATAACATGGCCAAGAACTAACAGTTGTAAAGTAAGATGTGTTGAAAACTGCCTATGTACAGATTTCCTGCAACTATTAATTTTTTTTTTTTGCTTTTGCATTGTCACAGCTCCAGCAGCCTGTATATCATGAAGAGTACTGTGGAGATCCTAACTGTAGATGCATGATTTTTTTTTCCTCATAACAACGTAGTTAAATGTCAAACCATAAAAGACACTTGTGAGAGAGAGATTTTAAATGCTTATCACATCTTGAGGTAGACTGATCTCCAAAATAAAGCTCTTCTACACTTTGATTCGTTCATGACCAACTTCTTTTTGGATCCTTCTCCTTGGAAAAATCTTTCGTTTAAGTGCAATCAGCTGAGGAGAGAAAAAAAATACAATGTTTAGTTCTCTGCTGGGCTAGAGGTGCACAGCTGGTCAGGCTACCATCCATGGTAATTGTGTCAAAACTGTCCTTTTTTTTTTTTTTTCACTGCACAGGAAGAAAGTTATTTATTCAAATTAACCTATTAGTTGTGCACATTTCCACTGAAATTCTCAATAACCAGACTACAAGCAGAAAGTGAAAAATACAGTATGCCTATATTCTGATTATTTTAAAGTTAATTTGTATATTAATAGAACACCAGGCTACATTCAGTTTCTAAAATATCAACGCAAAGCTGGCATCTTAAAACAGTATTGATACACCTAGCTGTACTACTGAGTTGAGTACCTACTTCCAAAATGAAGTTACTAATGGAGCGTGAGATTTCTAATATATACAAAAGGCTGAAAATCAAGGGAAAGATTCATGCAAAAGTTACAGGTGGGAAAAAAATAATAATCAAAAGCCAACCTTTCAAGAATTACACCCTCTTCATCAGACCACGGAAAGTGTTACTTAAGGCCCCCACCTGCAAAGAATTACCCATATGATTTGTTCCGTTGACTCCCTCTAAATTTAGCAGGATTAATCATGTTTAAGGCTATTTTATGCTTGCAGAAGTGGAGGGGTTTTTTTCCTCTGAGTCAGATTAAAAACCTTTTGAATTCAATAGGAGTCTGCAATTACTTAGGGATGAGATTTAGATAAGGCCTCTAAATACCTCAAGATTCTCTTCAGGACCAGAGTATAGCTATTGCTTAAATTTTCTTCCTGTTAACTTACTTTGCACTTTTACAAAGATGTGTGTTAATAGACCAAGAATTTAAAAAACAATTACTGATTTTGAGCATCCAAATTTAGCACATTGACGATGGACTTGACAGTCACAAGGCACCTGAAAAGGGAATACCACTCTCCTTCCCCCCATATGACTCCCTTTTCAAGGAATCTCAACACAATGACTTAAAAATTGAAGCAACCTACTTATTAGTCATATAACATCTTTACTTCCTTTATGAGGGAAAAATCCTAGCTACTCTTCAAAACCTATTTTAAAAAATCCATCTTATGTTATCCTGAAGATACAGCAATCTATTAATTGTTATAAATTTGATAGGAAGATGTTAATTTTACCTGTTCAGCAAAAAATGAGATGACTGTAAATACAATAAGTGTTACTAGAACACAATGGGTCCAGAATTTGAGCTTGTCTCTATATGCCCTCCTGCACAAAGAAAGAAGAAAACAGAAAAACAGCTTCATGTATTACAAATGCAAAAATATAAGCTTTAAGGAGTTTCCATGAAAGGGGCAAAGGACGTTTTTTTCAGTACTTAAAGGGTGACTAGAAAGAGGACAGAGGCTCTCTCTTCACAAAGAGCCACATGGAGAGGACAAGGGGTAGCAGGTACAAGTTGGACTGGGAAAGCTTTCATGTTGATATAAGAAATTTTTTTTACAGTGAGAACAATCATTCACTGGAGCAACCTCCCCAGAGAGGTGGTGGTGTCCCCACCACTGGAGATTTTCAAAACACAACTGGCCAGAGTGCTAGATAATCTAATGTAGGCTCCTCTTCCCACCAAATACTGGAGCAGATGATCTTGAGGTCCCTTCCAACCTGGGCTGTCTTACGATTCCGTAAAATATTCTGACAAACATAGATTTTCACCAGCATGCTTTAACTCACCCTGGTAGAAATCTGCTTTGTCTACAAACAAGTCAAAATAAAGTCTTCTTTTGAAAGCTAATGAAGTCCTAATGGATGTCCTCAAAAAGGGAGCCAACAATACGTCTATCACTCCAGAACAACTTTCTCCAGCTAACTGCTGAAATGGGTTTGCCCCTGACCCCCTCTGCCACTGCCACAGCAGGGCCTGTAGCACTGCAATCCACGCCTGTTCCCATCACCTACAATCCTTCTGATTCCTTCTAAAGTTCCTCTAATATTTTCTCTTTCCTTACTAATAGCTATTTCTCATAATTTGGTGATCAGCATCAAAATTACTACACTAGTCTTCTGGTCTCACTTTTATCACTGTACCTGCCAACCTTTTGCTTGCTTTCTCAAATCAACTATCCCAATTTCTGAAGTTATTATTTATGAAATGGCAAGAGGTACACACATGCAAAACTGTCACACATTATGTATGAGACACACATGTATCTTTTCTGATTATTATCCAGCTGATTATTGCTGTCTGACAGATAAAAAAACCATAAATCACTTAGTGAGAAATGCAACAGTTTATATTGCCCCTGTGCAACAGGCATTCCAAACAATGGCGTGGGTTTTTTTACACTTAAAGAAAGCCAGAAGTCCTGATTTACTTTTAGAAAAAAACCCCAAATTTTTCTTTGAAGTAGGTTAGGGCCAATCAATGAAATGTTAATGACTTTATGAGCACTAGAAAAACCCGAATGCTGCAAACCTCAAATTTTTGTCCATTCAAATATTTTCACATTATTTTTGCTGTTAACTCCCTCATGACAATACGGGGTGGGGGGGGGGGGGGTGGGGGGAAGGGTTGTACCAATATGTTCTATAATTATATGTTATTGCACTACAATAACTTGAAGAGAATCTGTGCAACATACCATTCCTGGAGTTCATGCATGTGAAGGAAACGATTCCGATATTCTCTTGGCAGTTCAAACTGAGAAGGTATGGGAAACATTGATTCATAAAAATCCCTAAGCACTGCTTTCACTGTCTGAGCATCCTTATGATTGTGATCAATATTGTCATTTAGGCAAACGAATTTTCTAGAAAGCAAGAAGTCATTGTTACAATATTTCTTTAATAATATAGCAGAGGTGTTGGCAAGCCAAGAACGCAAACAGAATCCTTTTAAAAAAAATTCATACACTATCCTTTTAAAACAAAACCAGTATGTTTGATACTGGTAATCACTTTCCTTATTGTTGCATTATTTTAAATTAATTTGATTTTAATTCTAAGAGCACGAAGGCTGACAGTGAGTCAAAACCTCTGAAGAATCCGATGACAAGCCATATTTCTCTCTCTTCTATTTATAAACTGCTGCCATCTAATGGGCACTAGTATGTATCACCCCAGAGCCCAGCACAGCAGAGAGCAGGTTAGAAGGCCAGCATTATGATTTGGGTAAGGGGTTTTATAGTTTTAAGTAAATTATCGTGAGTAAAGTGTCTTAAAGTGATCTCCACTGTAGGAGGTAAACATACTAAATTATTAATATTTTACTGTGGATGCTTCACTCTTCAGAGAAAGTCAACATAAAAACTATAGACAGTTGTACAAGAGAAGGCAAAAGCTTGGTCCCCAGGCTTTGAGTTACTGAGAACACTATATAAATTGGGCAGGATGTGACTTGAATCACAGACCCAAAGCTGAACTTGCACAATCAACCAAAATACAAACAACAACAGCCTGGATAGAATTTATATGGAAATTACAGTGACAAAATAAGCACGCTCCCAATAATGCCTCTTGCAGAGAGTTATTTCTTGTATAAGAAACTAAGTTACTGCCAATTATAGAAACTAAAGCAGCAGCTAGTGTGCTAGACTGCTACGTACCCTTGGCCACTCTGACCTGGTGCTTGACAACAAAAATTCCCTTTCCCACATATGGGCAAGGTTATGTGCTTTATTTATATTGTGAGATATAAGACCCTTACATTTCCCCCGAGGGAGAAATCATATCTGGTGACATATGCCTTGTAATCACTAACCTTTGTAAATAAGCAGTTCTGGTCAGCTGTATTCTCTATAGTATGGTGTGCTCTTTCAAAGAGCAAAGTTCAGACTTCCTACATGAAGCTGGAAATAAGCAGAACTCTGGAGCATGTGAATAAGGCTACACAGAGCATTACACCACTTTTCTTCAGCCTGTACTGAATCTGGCATAATTGGTAACCTTGTTCTAGACAGTTACGTGCAGAGGATAAACGGTCATTCAAATTGCTACATCTGAGAAGAACAAAATACGCCTCTCAGTGATGAGCAGGCTGTGCCTACGCTATCACATAATACTATGCAAAGCACCTGGTTATGGCAATCGTATGGCTAACAGTGTAAGTATTTTGGGAGTTCATTCTGGACTACCCCTGACCTTGTCCCTTGGACTGGCAGCTCGTTAGCCCTGGGAACACAGTAGCTGCACTCCTGGAGCACATATATCCCTGTTTAGCTTCACCTGAAAAAGATGCAGTTTACAAACTGAGAGGTTGCTACACAGAGCAAACCAAAGCACAGCAAATGAGGGTATCAACTTGTTTCAAATGGAAAGACTGTTTTAATCCATCCAAAAGAAACCAAACCGGACATTCTTTTGGACAGTCCAGAGTTAATACTTAGATGATTAAGGCTCACTTTTCCTCAAGGATGCAAAACAAACATTTTAGGCAGATCAGTAAGTGAACAACACTAGTAGTTTTTCCAAAAAGAGGCGCCTGTTTTAAGAAACTGTGTGTAATTGTTTTAAATTAAGAAAAAACATGGGAAAGAGAAAGAAATGGCAGGCCTACACTGCCGTGACAGCTCTCCTTTGCTAACAAGATATGACTACAGTACTGCACTATACTTTGCAGGAGTACAGTCCAAGCAATTGACTCAACCTCACTTCACAAACCAGTCAACAATCTGGAACTACAATATACTATCATTCCTTAAGAGAAAAAACAAACAAACAAACAAAAAACAAAACAAAACCCAAACAAACCAAAAACCCAACAACAACAAAAGGATATGCACACATGGAGTCTCAGGCTAAGTCCGTAATAGCATGCCAGTGCATCACATGAAAATTATGGAAGATTCAAGACAGACCAGCTCCCCTGCCTCATCTTGCCTGCTGAGGCTCCTGAGACAATAATTAGACACCCTTACTCAAACACATCCCCATCTAAGGATGCAATCACTCCACAGAATCGGCAGCTGCATTTTAAGTTACTGGGGGGCCTCAACACATTAGGCATGCTCACACTATAACCAACACAGTGCCAGGATCAAGCCTGATATCAGCAACCACCCTTCAAAATAAGAAGCCAGTGACTGGAACACTGAAGGTGAGAAACTCATGTTACATGCCCTGCTTGGGCGTAACAAGGCTTGAAATCAGACTTACTTTTCAAAAAACAAAACAAAGCAAACTACTAGCCATTATAGACAGTAGATGCAAAGAAATGGAGAAGGAAAAGGAAGCAGAAGGATGAGTTAGGGCACTGTCCATTTTTCTTTTGAAATGGGTCACTGTAGGAATTGCACTGCAGGAGTTACATGGCCAGAAGGCACTCTTGTAAGGAGGAGCAATAGATACAAACCACCTTCAGGTACAAAATGTCTCAAGACTAGAATTCTCATTTCTGAATGAATGGCCTAGGTAGTACAGTGTAAAAGGCAGGTGAAAACCTGCTCTTTACAAATGCAAATAATGGTGTAGCTTTACAGGCAACTGAGATTACCCAATAGCTTGCTGTGACCTGCAAGAGGTGGTTTCACTTTCCCTGGGCAAAGGCACCTGGTCCTACCTTCCTCCTTGCTCTGCTTTTTGACACTTGTGAGACCCCTCCTTGAGGCCTAATGCATTAAATTGGCAGGGAAATCTCTAGGTTTCTGAAGACAGAAGCAAGATAAAAAGCATGCAACTGAGCGCAAGGAAGGAGATGGGTAGAGGCACTGTCTCACTTCTAAGACAGCTAACTATTAAATTGTTGCTCCATGTCTTGTCAAGCCCCAGCCTTATGCAATGGGCTCAGGACTACAGTTAAATGCTTCTGCAAAGCAGATTAGACTTGAGTCTTAAATACAGCATCCTTAGGTTTGCAAGATGGTTGCTGTAAAATGTATGACAGGACATTTATTTTCCCCACTTATCTCTCAGTCATTTCAGAAGCTTAATTCAACACTACAAAGCCTACTCTCAGATTCGGGTATCTAAACCTTTCACCACTGAAGAGAGGAGAAACAGAGGACCACCCTCCAGCTTTGTATTGTTTCTCGACAAATATTAAAAAAAAAAAACAAAACCCCTTGCTATGTTGTGACAGAGCATGAAAGCATAGTATCAATGCAAAACTGATTTTGTAACACAATAACCTGCAACTAAGTTTTAGTTTAAAATTGCTACATAAAGCAGATCAAAATGCTCTCCCTTTAAAATAAAATTGCCTGCAATGTAAAATGTATGCCCTCTAGAAAGGCAAAAATTAAAGCCTCAAAAATAGCTGAAGTTTATCTATAAGTTTTCAAAGGCTTTAAACATATAACAATGTAACAGAAGTTAATGAGACAGCCCCTAGTGTAACAGAGAGAGCAGTTGCTTAGCTGCAGTTAAATAGAAAAGAGTAGAAGTACTTCTGGTTAAAATTGGTCTTACCCTGTAGCACACAGTGTGGAATTACAGTGCAATAAATTATTTTTGCAACACACAAACAGTCGAAGCAGAAAACTAAATCCAACTCAAAGCTTCATGCAAATCAAGAAATAGGATACCTGGGATTTTTTCGTATATCATCCAGCTGACCAACCACATGAGAAACGTTTGTGCGAATCATTTTGAAGGCAATTTCCTCTTCTCCCATGATTTCAAACCTTATTGTTAAAATAATATTTATACATGAATAAAACAACCTAAAGTCAGGTTCACTAAATATTAATCTTTTATTTAATACTTTATTTCTAATCTGACTGTCCAACCTCCATTAGAATTTGCCATTTGCTTTCTATCGGTATATTTACATTTTTCAGCTAATGCCATTGCACAGAACCACTTTCCTATAGATTTATTAGTAGCCACACATAAATCAAAGAACTGAATTCTAATACAAAAGTATATAATCCGTGAGTTTTGGCATAAAAGTAACAATTGATATGAGAGTGAACATAACACTTTTGTTGGGTTTTTTGTTTTGTTTTTAAACACACACAATTTACAACTGTCATTTATAATTACACTCCAGACAAGAGAAAACATGTTCTTATTGTCCAATCACCAATCCCAGACAAATCTTAAAATAAAATTACAGAAGAGTATATATAACTACAACCTTAAGTAAAATTAAACCTTCCTCACTTACCTGATCGTTTACTTGCAAACAAAGCAAGTATATGAAATGCAGAAATATTGTATTATCTCTGAAGGATATCTTGAGTTTGAAAGAACATCTGACCCTAGCTTAACACTCTTACTAGAGGTACCACACTTACATTTCTCACCTTTCTTATCTTGATATAAAAAAATACCCTGGCTGCTCCCTGAAGTCTACTTGAGAACCTACTCCATTTTTACAGCTTACAAAATTAATAATACAATTATTTAATATTAAAGTTCAACAGAACAAGAGCAGTATGTAACCTAGCGATATAAATATATTACTATAAATCACTATGTACAGCAAATCCTTGCCCCCAGCCCAACATTTTTCAATCTCATTTGTTGTGTCAGCTTCTCAGCTCTAGTGTAAACTCTTGTGGGAAGGGAATTATTTATAGAGCTTTCAGCACAACCTGAGGTACTATGAATTCATGTTTAGTAATGTCCAAAAGCTGCCCTAAGCAGCGTCTGTAGCCTTCTTTCACTCTACAGTTTTATCTGACTTTGTAGCCAGCCCTGGGGCAACGGCACGCTTCAGAGACCCCCCCCACGCTCGCATGCCCACCTCTGCTGGCAGGGCAGTGGAGGGAGGCAAGGCTGCCCGCTCCACGCCAGCAGCCAGCCCCACTGGCGTGCAGTTGGGTTGCAGGTTTCGGAGGAGAAAGGTCTGAGAGAACCTGGTCTCAGGCAGATCTACACAAATACAGTTATTCAGAAAAACCCACGGTCATGATCATGGTTTGTCTTGCCCTTACCACAAGTGGATGGAAATCCTTTTCTTGTGTCCGTCCGTCCGTGTCCGTCCCCCCCCCCCCCCATACCTGTCACTCCTCCCTCCTTGCAGCAAAACTGTAAGGTAGTTTGGGCTAAAACACGTTCTCTGGTCTTTTTTTAAGCTTCGGTAGAAGAAAGGATGATACAGATTTATAACTTCTAGATACACGACAGGCTCCTTCCTCCTTTTTATGCTACTTTAACTGCCTTCACTCACTACATACAGTCAATTTATATAGCTATCTAAAGATACTCTGTCTTACTGTTGTACAACACAAATTAGGATCTGGCTCAAGATGACCCAAGTAGCATGGAACTACTTAGTCTACTTAATAAGAAACTATGGAAAAAAAAAAATCACATCATTCTGCACAGTGAAACACACATAAGTAGGTATCAATATGTTTCCTCATCATACCACTGTTAAAATAACTTGAGCTAAGATTTGTTAACATACATATACAATCTTTGGTCATCTATGTATTTATACCTTACTGCTTTACAAAACCTAGCATGGCTTTTCACGGGACTGTAACAACATACCTGTATTTGTTTTTGTCCTTGTATGCCTTACGAATTCTGTCAGTCACAGGTTTGCAATTAGTCACAAGGTTTTTTGTTACTGGAGGCTGGAAGAAAACACTGTTTAGATTATAGGCTACTGAAAATTACAGTCTCTTTTAAAGATGCACTTTGTAGAAAACTGACATTACAGCTAAAAAGGCTCATGTACACTTACTCTCCTGCAATGAAAAGCAACAGTTTCTATCAACTGTCAAGGAGAAAAACAAACAAACAAACAAAAATATACCAGTGCATAACATCATGATTTCCTATGCATACAAATACTATACGAAAAATACAGATTATTTTTGAAAAAGCACTGCAACTTCTAGATTTCATCCTCAATAAAATATTCAGAAATTGTAGCTCATTTGACAGCTGTCTTTGGCATTCCTCTGGTAGAGGCCTCCAGTAGCACTGGCCAGGCAAACTCTGCAGAACAGCTGATCCACGAGGCCTTATTTCTGTCAGAAACTATGTTGAAACAATTCTGGGAAATAAAGTCCCTATTTTCAAGGGATATTTCTATGGTGGTAGACTCATTCCAAGAAATCTACCTGTTGCAAACAACAGATGTAAAAATAAATTAGGCCTCTGTGCTGAACACAAATGCTATTTTATCAGTATTTCAACTGACTGATAACATTAGTATGTTAGGCGTTACTGCTGAGATTAGTAATACTTTACTAATTATCCAAAAAGAGTAAAGTATTTTGACATTGTTCCCAACCACTGACACTTATTTTTAACACCACCTTGAATCATATTCATGGCAGACATCCTTTACTACTACTTGTCAGTTTTTACTTCACAGAATTCTGCAGACTCAATTCAGAGTCATAAAGAGGCAAGATGAAGTACTGGATGCAACATCCTCAGACTGTGCAGCATTTTCAAATTCGCACTTCTATTTCTTCAAATCAGGCTGATAGAATGGCACTATGTAGAACTTTGCTGGAACTCAGACTTAGGGCAAATGTATTTAAAACCTTGTAAGAACCTGATAAGAATACAAGACAGGATAGATGTCCAGAGGGAAGAAAGAAAAAACCAAAAATAGTCATTGTCCATATACATTTATCTACACACACACTGTATATCTCTGTACTATGATTTGCACGTGTTGAGGATCAATAATTCAATAATGTTCTACTACCCAAAAGTTCATGATCTGTACTCATCTTTTTGCTTTGATATAGGATTAGTTTGAAGCTATAAAACACTAGGTCATCAATTTAACAAAGTACATGTACACTTTTTTTTTTTTTTTTCCAAATGCATAGCTCGATGCAGAAATTAAATTCTCACTGTAAAAGAAATTCAGGTATTAGTATCAGATCTAAAGATTCTAGATTCCTAAATTCCAGCAGGTTTTAATGAGAATTTAACCATTAAAATAGAAACAAAGGACTTAAATCCCTAAGGAACCTAGTCCTAAGGAATCCTTAAGGAATCTAGTCCTAAAACCTCAATTTTCACAGAATGGTTTAGGTTGGAAGGGACCTCGGGAGTTAATCTGGTCCAACCCCCCTGCTCATGCAGGGCTCCCTGGTGCCAGCTGCCCAGGACCTTGTTCAGATGGCTTCTGAGTATCTCCAAGGATGGAGATTGACTACAAATGGGCAACCTGTACCAGTGCTTGGTCACCCTCACAATCAAAGTGTTTCCTGACCTTCCGAGGTAACTCCTGTGTTTTCAGTTTGTGCCCACTGCCTCCGGTCCTGACGCTGAGCACCACCGAGAAGAGCCTGGCTCCATCTTCTTTGTGCCCTCCCTTCAGGTATTTACATACATTGATGGGATCCCCCTTGGGACTACTCTTCTTTAGGCTGAACAGTCCCAGGTCTCTCAGCCTTTCCGCGTAAGAGAAATGCTCTTGTCCACCACCTTTGTGGCCCTTCACTGGACTCCACCCAGTATGTCCGTATCTCTCTTGTACCAAGGATCCCAGAACTGGACCCAGCACTTCAGGTGTGGCCTCACCAGTGCTGAGTAGCAGGGAAGGGTCACCTTCCTTGACCTGCTAGCAACACTTTTGTCCAATGCAGCCGAAGATACCATTAGCCTTCCTTGTGTCAAGGGCACATGCTGGCTCCTGTTGAACTTGGTGGCCACCAGAACCCCTCAGGTCCTTTTCTGCAAAGCTGCTTTCCAGCTGGGTAGCCCCCAGCATAACACTGCTGCATGGGGTTCTTCCTCCCCAGGAGCAGGACGCTGCACTTGTCTTTGCTGAACGTCATGAGGTTTTTGTCAGCCCATCTTTGGTGTTAAAAGGAGTTAGTCTAAAGCCTTCAAATTGGGAAGAGTTACTCTAAACATGTCCACCTGATGTTTTTGTGCTTTTCTTGATTTTATTTTGTTTTTAAATACATGGGTTATAATTCAGATAAAGGCCTATCAGAAAGTTGTAGTCAGAGAGGTGTTGGCTTTACTGTCTTTTTGTTTCACAACAGTGAATTTTCCTAACAAGGATGACTTTTTAGATCGCACACATAATAACATTCTAAAGCTCAGCTTTTCCATTTTTGAAGGAAATTAATGGCTTTGTAAGTCAGAAAGTAGCTTGTAAAATTTTAATTTTATAACACTTCATGTACACACAAGTAGAAATTTTTGTAAATACTTTCCTTCTAGAAATCAGACCAGCTTTTCAAGCACAGTAGATACACACTCAGGAAAGAAACTGATGTTTCTTACCAGATTGGGATCATAGTAAGCTTCCTGAGTTGGTGGAATGACGTGGATCTGAGTGATGTTGGCAGGGAGAGCTTTAGAGCAATTTATCAGCATTTGTTCTAAACCTGTCAAGTCCTAACAGGAGAAAAAGAAAGAAGAAAAGAAAGTTATTCCTGTTTTCTCACTGACACAGTTCTAAAAATCCAGGGAGCACAGATATATTCAATGTTATTGTTGTGGTTTAGGCCTGTTTGGCAGCCAACCACAATGCAGCAGCTCTCTCTCCCTTCCCCTCCGGCAATGAGAAGGGACAGAGAGCCAGGCTTGGGGTTCAAGATAGGACTGGGATGGGGAAAAATCCCCCTTTATGATCACGAGCAAAAGGCAGACTCATTAGGGGAAGAAAAAAAGAACATACATTTATTACAGACACTAACAACACATAACAGAGTAGGACAGTGAGAAGCATTGCCACATCTTGAGAACACCTTCCCCCCACCCCTCCCTTCTTCCCGGGCTCAGCTCTGCTCCCGATATCTCTACCTCCTCCCCCAGTGGCACAGGGGCAGGGAATGGGGGGTGCAGGCAGCGCTGCCACTTCCTTTATCTTCGGTGAGGGGAGTGTCCAAAACTTGTTACCCCCTGCTCCAGCGTGGTCCCCCTCTCACAGCAGACAGTCCTCCACACACTTTCTCTGACTTGAGTCCCTCCCACGGGCCGCAGCGTTCCCCACACTGCTCCGTCATGGGTCACTAACTTCCTCCGACTGGATTCCCTCCCACGGCTGCAGCCCTTCCCGAGCTGCTCCGGCGTGGGACTCCCCCGCATGCTGCAATCCTCCCAGCGCTGAATTACAGCAGTGGGGCTGCCTTTTCCCACAAGACCCCGGCCTTCTTCGGGCACAGAACCTTGATTATGCCGAGCAGGAGCAACAGGCCACAAATCAATGTCTGCTCCACCGTAGATCTTCATGGGTGGCGGGGGGGGCCGCCCTGCCGTCTCCCCACAGGATACAGGGGGGTCTCTGCTCCGGCACACCTCCCCCCTCCTTTCTTCCTCCATTCCTCCACTGACCTTGGTGTTCAGGCAGCTGCCCCAACTCCTCCTCACAAGTCCCACTGCTCCCCACGTTCCTTCTTAAATATGTTCTTGCAGAGGCGCAGCTGATGGGCTCAGTTTTGGTGCAGAGGTGGAGCTGACTTGGAGCTGGGGGAGCTTCAAGAAGCTTCTCACAGGGGGCCGCCCCGATAGCCCCCTCCCTTGCCACCAAAAAACTCCACCACTCACTCAACCCAGGGCAGTTATCTACAAAAACTTCTGTGCTACGGTTGGAAAAAGAAGCCTTAATATTCAGCAGAACCCAGTTCAACAACTGCTGAAGTCAGTGGGACTCCCCATATGCCTGAATTAATGCAAATGCACAGTGCATAGTTGGATTGAGACTGGATAAAGCATGACAACATACTTTTCATTTAAAATGAAAAGCACAGCTTTACTGATGATGTCAGGATAGTACATAATTTCCAAACCAGCAGTGGCATATTAAATCCCAAAGCAAGCAAACAGAAAAGTGAACTGAAAGGACAGGAAGAAGATTTTCTGATTAAGGTACAGGCCAGGAACGCACTAACGTAGGGCTGTGTTCCAGCTATGGCAGTGATTTTGTGTACTGTTTCAAGAACAAATTATTTATTTGGTTTGTGCCAATTCCTCTCTGTAAAGCAGAAATAGTACACTTTGTTCTCTACCAACTATCTCTAAGAGCATAAGTCCTACAACGACCATGTCTCTGTTCATCAGGTTCCTAGAAAAACACAAGTGTGAGTCTTTGTATATGGGCACAGTATTTACTTCTTTGCCACCCGTTTTCTCAATTCTTTCTTTAGGCCACAAGTTCCTCAGGGCAAGAACTGTCTTTTACTATGTGCAAGAAGAAGAGTAAGCACAGCAGGATCCCACTCTTCACAGTGGCCCTTAGTGCTGAACATCTTTTCTTACAAATTCACACTAACTACTTTCTTGAACTCAGACACCAGTGATCCATTTTTCTGATGCTGCTAGAAATCAATTTAATTGTTAAGTCCATAGTACAATGAAGTAGTGAAATACAATGTTACATTCTCGAGGTAAAAGGTAAGAATTGCCAAATGTTACAGATGCTATAAGCAAGGATAAATAAAGTTTTTACCCATTTTAACAGTTTTTGACTTTAAAACTGAAATGACTATAAAAGCTGCTAGTAAGGAAAGCGTACCTGCAAACTTAGTGGTAGTTCATGGATTCTTGTGGCCAGCGTGCGAATCTCTCTGTCAGATAAAATGCCTGACTGGTCTGTGTCAATCTCATCAAAGATCTGAGAAACGTTCAGTGGCTGGACCGCACTCATAAGATAGTAGAAATACGAAAAAGCAAACTGCATATCTTCTGAGTGCCGCACTTTGTGAAACGACGTCTTGTCAAACTCCTCAGGAAACCTATATAAGAATGTAAAATAATTTAGTACTCTAGTTTCTTAAAGTAAAACATTCCTTATCTAAAAACAAATTTTTATCTAGAATTTTAAGAGGTCCTCAAAAGTCTCCTTATTTTTAGCACAACTATCATGTTGTAACAAATTCTCTATTTCCTTTCTCAAAATGTAATTTTAATGAATAGCCATCAACACACTGGAAATAGCTATAGCAAAGTATCAACAGAAAGGTAGAATTACCTATGGTTTTACATTATTCCAAAGACATACTCACATATCCTGTAGCTCTTGCATAACTGTGCGGTCAATCATATGAGGCATATGAGCAGGGACTTTCCGAGATGTAAATCCAAATTTGCTGTTTAAAAGCTTATTTACATATCGAAGGGAATCAGCAAATGTATCTTTCAGCTGCCTTCCAACATGTTTACCATCAGTAAAGTACGACATTTGCTTGAGTAATGACTCTTCTTCCTAAACAGCAGGACAGGCATAAATCAAGGTTACATTACCAAAAAAGACTGAAAACATTAATCACACCGGAAAAATGACACTTCAGCCAGGTGCCAACTCATTCCAATATCTGAAAATGGGAAGAGAAGTTTGGAGTATTTTTCTTCATCTTCCTTGGTTCTCTCTTTAAAAAGAAGAGATAAAAAGTAACCATTTCCATAGAATTTTCATGCTTTGAGGAAAAGTAGTCTATAAAAATCTTCCTTAATATTTGCGCTCTGACACCTCACAGATACACTGAAGTCCCTGTCTGCTCTCAGATTTATTTGTAATATTGCCCTTTTTTGTTGGTTATTCACCCATATTTGATGAACTGAAATCCTATGAATAGAAAAATTCCTCGTGCAAAAACCTAATCTCAGATCAACTGAAAGAGGTACTCTTTTAAAAACGTAGCCCCTTTGCTATTTGGAGTAGTGCAAAGCAGCTGCTACCAACTGAAACAGTCTCTGTGTCTTCACTTCTAGTGGTTTTCAAAACTGCCAAAAAGCTTTGGCTGGAGGCAGAGGAAGCTTCCTACACGTTTTATTGACACGGTCTAGATACTCAGTTTTGGTGGTAGGCTTTCAATTTAACTTTTAAAACCCAAGTATTTACCATTATTCATATATTTTACATATTTTCAAAAAATAAACTGGATCCATATTTGCACAAATGCAATCAAAACAGAATTTAAGCCTTTTGTTGTAGTGCTATATGTCTGAACAATAGCATTGTGCCATAATACAATGCATAAAAAGTGAATCTGACAAAAAAAAAAAAACATCAGTAGAAAGGGAACAGAAATGGCTATTCAGCTTTTACCACCTAGCTAAAAGAGGCCCAGATCATAAACAAATTAGATTTTATGTGAAAAGTCAAAAGAAGCTTTCAAAAAATCTGAGTATGTGCCTCATAGGCAAGACACATTCCAAATTTATAAATAGTCTTAACAGTATTCCACTAAATGCAGAAAGATGCAACTATTCCAATAGAAAATGACATTAAGATACTCACATCAAGAAGGTCCTGGAAATACTTCTTTTTCTCCCATGGCAAAAAGCCTTGGTAGCTTCCAGCATAAGACTGTAATTTTCTCCCCACTTGCCCCTCCCTTTCATTTGTATCCACCTGCACATGCACTTTTCCTCCTTCCATTCCCTGTGTGTCTTCTCCAGCATCTAAATTCCCAGTATGTTTTGATTTCTGGGTTTCTCTTAATATGAGTGCATTCAATACTTTTTCTCGAGTTTCATTTTTATTTCCCATGCTCTGGGAGGGAACTGTGGATTTAGGTTTTACTTTATAGATAGGTTTATTTGTGTTCATTGTCACAACAGTCTCCTTTGATCCTGTAAGTCTTGAAGGAGCTTCCTCATTTGCTCTTATTGTTTTTATTTTGACATTGTTAACATCATTATAAGGCTTTTGCCAGCTGGTACGGTTCTTCTGATCTTCTGAATGATTATGCAGGCCCTTCTTTTCCAGGCCTATAATACTCTTTGCTGTAGTTAAGAAATGGAAAGGTCTCAGGAGAGCAGCCTTGGATAGGTTAAATCCTTTCAGAGTGATATCACCATTTAGTAGCTTTAAGTCCAGGTTCTGCAGTGCTAGCTGAACATCTTCAGGAAGAAGAGACACATTTACTGATGGTATTATCACCTCTTCATGTAGGCTCTCTTTTGTGCCATTTCGACGTCTCCTGACTCTTGGAAAGCGTTTTTCTTCAGGAATATCCTCAAATATCATTTCAGCTTCTGGTATTGAAGTTATAGTTTTAAAATCAGAGTCAGATTTTTGAACGGAAGTTGTGTTCAGTTTTGGTTCCTCTCTAGTATCAGCTTCAACAGCTACCTGCATTTTAAACTCTTCATCATTTTTATTTAGAAATGTAAGGTTAAAATAGATCACAGTTGCATTCATGCCACTATGCATTATGAGGTGGATAGTCTTCCATTTGTTAGCAACTGAAGCATGACGGATAATTGGGTTATCGCTATACGAACCCTCGATTCCTTTCTTGGCTATTTCGCTGAAACTGAAGTAGGGCAGACATTCACCTTTGGGAATGACATAGTAGGTCTGATTAAGCTGAAGCGTCACCTTGTACATCTCTTCAAAGTGATCTGGAAAAAGCCCCAAGAAACAAAGCGAATTGCTGTCAATTTGCAGTGTGACACCTGTCTTTCAGTCTTTTGAATTGTAATATGCCCAGCTAGATTCACTGTATTAGCAGCAAGACAACTTTGTGGAAGAACACTTACTATAGCTTCCAGTTCTTGCTCACCTATTTTTAATAATGAATGACTAGAACATACCCAGATATATAAAGCTGCCAGACATTCCAGTGGTAACTCTAAAAGCCAGTATAATTTATCACTCTCTCAGTCTCCACCTGAAGAGCTTAAGTGGCTCATTATCACACATTACTTAAAATTATGTATCAGTCATAAGTAACATGCCCATACTACATTTTTGCCACATTTTAGTAGATTAATGTTACAACAGTTGGATTTCGCTGTAACACTGCATCTTGATTTGAGACTTCCAATATCAGACAGGCTGAATGGAATTTCTCCCGCCCACAGCAGAAGACATTTGTCTGAGCTGAGATGCAGGGGAGCCTCTACTCTTCCAAACAGGCCAGATTCTTCCATTTCTGTTCCTCTGCCTATACCAGACAGCACTCTCAATAACTTCATTTACTCCTGCTAGCCTTTCATATGAAAATAAACTTCAGACAACTTCACAGGTGACTGAAAGGAGCCTTTAGCAAGAGTCCAGAGCCAGACTCAAACTCAAGCTGCCAGCATCAGAGAAGTTCTTTAAATTTCTTAACCACTATGGGCATCATCAAGTCAGCTGTCCTTATTTGCGTAAAGACTGCTTGCTTAACTGAAATGTGATTTCTCCATTTAAAATGTAAGATTCTTGGAGCAAGGAGTCTGATGCTTGCTGCTCCGTACAGTATCAAGCACCCCATCCATGCTTGGCCAATAAATGTTTTAAATAAAGCAGCATATAATGATGATTGAGGTTTGGATAAGTGAATATAAGGACCAACTGACTTCTTTCTTCAGCTGCTACCAGCTCTTTTTCATGACTCTGTACAGGGCATTTTAGCCCAGTCAGAATAATGATGAACCAAAAAGGCCAGACAATTCAAGAGAATCCCTACAAAAAGTTTATCAGCAATGTATTTACATACCCTGGCCACAGTCACCAGCATCAAATCCACAGGAAAGGACATTGCAGGCCTGATCACAGAATTTGTCTGCTAACCAGGAATTAGCACAGCCTTGGTTACAGTATGAAACACCACTTATTCCTGCACCAAACTGCCACGGTGGTCCATTCCCAATACCTCCAACTGCACCTCCACCAGCAACATAGCGACTACCCCCACTGTTACCTATAGGGAAAGAACAGGAAAACAAAACCCCCAGTCATTTGAAATCCTTATTTCTGAGGAAAGGCACATTTTAAGCTACAATGTTAAGGCTGAACTGAAGAGCTGACAATCTTATTTATCACTGGTGAAATTAAAATGGGGCAAATGCTAAGTAGACTTCTGTGCGTTAGTGCAAAATCTATAGTGTGCACAATCTCACTGTAGAAGTTTAGGAACCAACTTAAAATTGCAACAAAAGCTCCAACATATTTTGTCTTAACTTCAAAAACACAGGTAGAAAACTGATCTACTGCTCATGCTTGCAGTGTTGACTTTACAGCTGCTTAGAGTGGTATCACTTCCTCAATCCAGAAGCACCACTTCATTTTCCTGCCCTGCAGTCCCGAAAATTTGATGTAGAAATTAATGGTGCAGCTTCACCAGTCTTATTATTTGGTTCCAAGTCCAAATAATATATATATTATACAATAACATCTAACAATAATTTGAATTCCAAAAATATTCATTTTCAGCTAATCAAATTTGGTACCCAAAGATCTTCCTGTGCCCGACTGTTTGCTGTGATTTTCCATAGAAATTTGTAGTTTGCAAGAAATAAGGCTTTCACCTGTAAATGAACTTTCTTATTATTATTAAAGAAGGTAAATTTTGTAGTTGTAGGAGAATAGCAAATTATAGAACTATTCTTATAAGAAAAACCAAAACCAGTTCAAATTTTCTAAATATAACACTGCTGACTTACCAATGCAATCACCTCCATCCCAATCACATGCCGAGTTATTACAGGCTTTATCACAGTAACCATCTTTAATCCACGAGCCAGGACATCCCTCAGCACAGTTTGGCACAGGCCAAGTCAAGTAAACCTGGAACAACATTACAGTCTGAGACAAGGACTGGCAAATAGAAGTCAACTGAGCTTGTTTCCTGGAATAGAGAGAGAGACTTAAAATAATGCCTCCCTATTCACAAAGCTTTACAAACAGCATTTAAATCTTATCACCTGTGAAGTAAATGTTATCCATTTCAAACAGAAGGAAGTACTGAAGAATTCCCAGGGCCATACTGCAAGGCAGCCATGGCCAGAAATAGAAAACAGGACTTCCCAAATCTACTTCTGCAAACCTTATTCCAATCAAAAATACTCTTTCATCAGAAAAGAAGGCGGAACTTAAACTCTGAAATAGCTCTGCAGTTAACTTGTTCTCCTGACTCAAAATGTTTCTTCATTACTAACCAGTCATGAGATAAGGAGCACGTGTTGGGCATAATCCCTGAAGCATCTGATCCTCTGTGACTTAAATAATTGTAAGAATTGCCAACATAAAAAAAAGTGTGTGGGTGTGTGTATTTTAAACTGGGAAGGCATTAAAAACCACACATGTTTTCCCTTATGCCTTAGTGTTTCAAGATTTTAGCAGCACATTTCCTAATGAAACGCTTGCTCACCAGCAACATTGCACCTGAGCTGACTTTATCATCATAACTAGGAAGAATAACTGAACAACAATACAAATGCACTATCAACAGGATTTTGCAATTGTATGCCTAAATCCTTAAAGACTTAAAACAACTAAAAGCCTTCTAACATCCTCAAGCACTGAAACAGTAATTTTAGAGTAGCTTAAACTCATTTTGTACAATCCTTCTATCTGTGTGCACAAGTGTGCACACCTGCCTGCATGAATTGTTTAATTCAGTGGCCTCTAGTGCCCTGTGTACTTACTGCTTTAAATATAAATAATAAACAAAAATCTTCATATTTTCCTCCATATCACTCCTGGATGAAAACTCTGCTGGCAACCAGGGTCTTTATGCATGATTATTGCCAATGGTTCCTCAGCCTGCTTTCTCTGCTTAAACCCCGTTGCTGATAGTAAGTCTACTGAAAGCCTAAAATATTTGATATGTTCATGAACATGCAACAGTGTATCTTTTAGTAAATATATACAGATTGGGAAAAGATATTACAGGTGTCTGCAACAGAGGTAATTAATGGTAAATTTAAATATTAGACCAGTTTGAATGTCATCTGACCTCAGTGTTCTCATGAATGAATTGATTCTGTTTTGTTTTGAACATTTCCCACAAAACAAAAGTTTACAAGGGAGGGAAGACTGACAGCTGCCAAACACCACATCAGTCTTACCAGTGCTCCAAGAAAAAATGGGAGGATTAGAAAATGACACTGAAACTAAAGCATGAAGCCTGACAGAGGAACCATTATACCACCAGAAACCTGTGAGTGAATATGAGGAAAAAGAAATTCTGCAACCCAAGCATCAACACAGCAAACATAAAAACAGACAGAGCCCTCCCCACCCTGCACCTTTGCTAAGAATTGTCTAGTTAAAAACAATGAACCTTTAGAGATAAAAGAGGAAGCAGGGATGAAGGGAAAATCATCTTATATTTGTTCTCCCTTTTGAGGTAGTAGTTATTTGATTTTTATTATATTACCATAGAAAAGCTTTACATCTACTTCTGGTAAAAAAAAAAAAATCCTTTCTTAATGGCTTACCTTTTGACCTTTAGAGTGACTGTAAAAATCATCAGGCCAGACATCCTTCCCAAACATAACATCATCATTGAGATAGATAAACTTCTGAGAGAGGCCACTGATACGATGAATGTGACTTTCAATAGCTGGTGAACTGAAGGTAGGCAAGTGACTCACATTCTGAAATATTTCCTAAAACAAAAAAAGCCCCAACAACCCAGAACAGTTTCAGAAGGCAAAAATAAAGCCCAAAACCACAAACAGTCAGGCACACCAGATATCTGATACTTATCTACTAAATAAAAAAAAAAAAAAAAAAAAAAAAGTTTTATCAAGAACAAGAAGAGATATGAAAGACAATAATGCAAAGACACAAACTCCTCCTTCACTGGGTACTGGAACAGGCCCTATGTACACATATTTATACTTCTCATGAAGTACAGGCTGTACAAAATTTCAAGCACATTGAACCTGTTCCAGCATTGAAAAAGTCAGGATTGTTCCACCTCTTTCAAGTAACTCCACAAGCAGACAGCAACAAAGTTGAATTAGTATCTCATTATCACTTTAGTTGCTTAGGGCTACTATGGCATTACTCCCAAATTCATAATAAGAAGATACTAGAGTATGTTTGCTTCACTTCTTCAGGAAGCTTGAAGGTTTCACTTTCTTTTTTTAAATAAGATTTTTAGAATGCATAGCTACTTTTTTTTGCAGCCATCTTCTTAGTTCCAGTAATTGTAATCCATTCTGTCTCAATACAAGCTTATTAGGTTATTACTGGTCATGAAAGAGTTTTTATGGATTTGGATTACATTTTCTTCTCCCTAGGTTTTTTATAAGTAGACTTTATAAGTAAATTAGACATGAGTATACATTAGATGAAGCCTCAGTATTTGGAAAACTGGACTAAATGAAGGCTTGATATATATTCAGTTATCTGCTTAGCCAAAATACAAAGACATACTGGGGTTTAATAAAACCATTAATGAGATGGGGAAGAGGTAGTCGCTTCTACCTTCCAAACACATGCAGCCTTTAGCTGAAAGGGGATAACTGCATTTCAAAACACAGAATCTTTACTAGTAGCACTCCCATGCCGGTATTTTTGTTTGTTTGGGGTTTCTGGCAGGGTTTTTGTTTGACTTCTGTTTGTTTGGGTTTTACCTGATGTGTCACTATGGTTATCCGAGGATTATCCAAATTAAGCCAGGAAGGGATCTGCCCATTAGTGACGATGAAAATATGCCGTACCCAAGGGGCATGCCTCTCTATTGATCGTAATGAGTACCTCAGCTCTTCATTATCTTCAAAACGGCTGGCAGAAATATCTTCATCCTGTTTAGACTATAAAGAATCCTTTCTTAGATTTTAAACAGAACATTCAAGTTCTGATCCAGCTAGGTAATAAGTGTGCTTTAGTGTAGGGGTGCATAAGCGCCTGAGGACTTAAATAGAAAGTACATTGATCAAATACCATTATTCTTCTAAAGGATCGTATTCTTCTGAATTATCACGGTGAATAATACAATCTTCTGACATCAATGGCTGACCACCTGGTGTCATTAGGATGTCTGCTGACCACACTGCAAGATGACAGTGCCCTGTGTGTGATCCTGGCTCTTGAAAAAAGAACTCAAGAAAACACATGCCCTCTTGTTTTCCTAGTCTCAATTATTTCCTGATCTTAACCAAAAGTCAAGTTGCATTTCAAATCAGTAACATCACCCTTCAGAAATCCAGTTTTAAGAGTCTGGGGCCTTCCAATTACATTACATCATAAGCCGTATATAAATGTCCCCTAATATAGACACACTGTAAGAGTCATGGTGTAGCAGCTCTTCAATTATACCCTGCTCTTTTAAAGAATTTAAGCAGGAGGAAATTAACAAAACTTAGTCCAATATTCACTATCACATAGCTAAATGTTTCCATATGTTTTTGTTAAAAAGACAACGTGTTAATTAGAAACTCATCAGATAAGTAAGAAAATCAGGTTACATAATACTAACATATGTTTCTTTTCCCATTTATGAGAACCTAATGACCTCTTCTAAAAGCAACGAGTAGGGCTGCCTAAAAGGAACGTTTCTAAAAGAACTATGCCCAACTGAAACAGGAAACTCGAGAAAAATTTGAACACTTAACAATTACCATTTTCACTGCAGATTCTACACACTGTAAATGTCATCATCTTTTCTAATATGTACAGTAACACAGTTTACATATTCTCAAAAACATAACAACTGAAAATATTTCAGCAACATCATCATCCATCAGCAAAGTACCCATTTACAAAATTATGCATCATTTCAACACGGGGAAGTATAAAGTTTGAGTTCAGGGTTTGTATTAACAAGGAAAAATTCTCCAAAAGCCAGGTTCACAGGATACAAAGACAGACTGCAAGTTTTACTGGAGCAGGCACATTTACTTTACCCACCCCACCTGACATTTAATGTAAAATTAAATTCCAGCAGGAGAAAAAACCCAAGATTTTAGATCTTATCTTGAAACAGACACCTTGTTATTTTATTTCCTGTTGCTAAACCAAATATCCTTGCTTGTATCAAAAGTATTCAAAGTAAACCTCCTTTCCTTATAGACATCTGTATTTCAGGTCTTGAAAATTTTTGGAAGAGAAATAATTAGCATTTTCTCAGCACATATGATGCTGCAGAGGAAAAAATGACGAAGAAACATATCAGGAAGGAGATAATCATGTTTGTTAATGAAGCCCTCTGTCTCCCCCACACAAGAAGCCTGCTTATCTGTCAGTCAGTATCAGTTAAGCCCCTCATGACTTGACTGCGCACAACTTTATTAGAACACGTGCAGAGGGCAATATTTTTCACTTAGTGGAGAACATGAAAATGTCAAATGTCACACTGTCTGATCCCTCTTCCTCAATTTTAGAATTTGACAGTGTTCTTGTGATGTTTTCTTACAACATAATAAATACTGGATTCTTAACATTTCCAAGCTTCTGGAAGAAATCCCGTGTTCTTTGTCAATGACTAGTTAAGACGCTACTTGCAGTTTTTCAATACTACAACCTTGATATGCTGTAACAGAATTTACCTACCTGACTGACAGAGCTGAGGTCCCATAGTAAATAAGCAGGATTAAGCATCAGTTCTTTTCCATCTATAGTCATGTTCTTCTTTGCTTGCTTGCTCAGGTCTTGGAAACCCTTAGGGTTATTCAGTTGCAAGAGAGCCACACTGGCTTCCGAATAAAGCTGCAACTATACAAACAGAGATAAAAAATGTCTGGCATGCACCCAGAGCAACACTCTTCCTTTGCCAATTCCATCTTTTTGTTGAATTTTTCTTACTAGAGTTACTAATAAGAATGACTGGTAAGCACTGTTTTTAAAGAACTACAATTTTGTAAGAACACAAAAAGGGGTAGTAAAACGGGAAATGAGCAGCATTTAAAGATACAGAACATTTCTAGAGGCTTAATCTTCCCTTTCCAAATAAAATGTCTCTTTATTTAATGATCCAGCAACAGTGAAGCTGTCCATGTTATAAATATTTCTGGAGTAAGTGACTAGTAAGTCCCCATCCATTCTCTCCCACCCTCAATAACAAAATTTATATTTTATTACCAAGTAATTATATGACTGAAAGAATCATACTTTTTTTCTGTCTTGACCAAGCAATGCTCTTCTTGGAAAATTAAGGCCACTGGTTCATCATTGCTGTCAGAAGCGTGAAATTTTCAGAATGGTTTATAGATCAACCTACAGCTCAGAAATCTGAGATACAAAGGGCTCCAGAACTAATCCATGTGGGTCTCCAAGTCCTTAATGATGGTTGCCAATATGCTGTTAAGGTCATTTCTTGGTTGTGGACTGTTTGATCTGTTTGCTGTTTTTATCTCTTGCCACTAGTAAGTCTGTATATCAGATTTCATAATGCACAGGGTAAGAAGGGGCTTGTACTACATAACCTCTCTAACAGCTAGTATAGGTTAAATTACAGGGCACCAAAACATTTCACTAGAAATATACCATAATCCAATAAAATGTTGTGTTTACCATATGAAGTAGCACGAGCAGACACACGCCAAAAGCAGGACTACACTTTGATTCTCCAAGTGCATGCATTCAACAGTCAGATTGAGAATAAATGCAGTTAATCATTAACAATATTTATTAGATGCTCTGCTTAATTTTTGCTCCTTCATGCAACACATAAGACAAATAAGCACATCTACCAGATTTTCAGTTGCATAAAATCTGTAAATGCAATTCATAAGTTAACAAAATTTGAATACTTTCATGTTCGAAAACAGCAAAACCATCACAGCTTATTTCATAATGCCCCTAAGTGGTTTTTCTTCTTTATTTTTTATTAAATCTGACCCTTTCTGCTCATTTTAAAACACCACTTGTCCCAGAGTTAGCACCCCTTCCCTTAGCAAGACCAGCTGTCCCACTTGTGACATTTTAAAGCTGTTGATGCTTTGACTCATATGCTATTTGAGATCTTTCAATCTGACTTATGAGGCCTGCCATTAGAAAAATCTGATAAATCTCAGACCTTCCAGGGAATCATCTGAACCTACGGGTGGAAAGGATGGCTTCAGTAGCTAAATGGCTGAGGTATAGTTACGGACTGCAGCTAGCAACCTCCAAAAATATCAGTATCGAAATGCTACAGATTGCAAAGCTGCCAGCAGTGGGTATGTGCTTTATTTAGGAATACAAGTGTCACACAGTCCCTTAGAATCTGTCATTTAAAACATACGTATAAGAAACCAAAAATATTACCATTCTAGAGATCTGAACGCATGTAAGAACATTTAGTTTCTCTTTAACTCGCTTCCACCAAACTCAAAATAGGTACCTGTACTACAGATTCCTAGCTAGATTTACTACAAGCACTTTCCCTTTCCCCCCACTAACACAACATATACACTCTAGGTTTTTAAATATGTAACAGTCCAAGCACAAACAAGAAGTAAGGGAAAAATGTGCTCCACTGGTCAGCATTGGAGTTAAGATAACCCCTGCATTGAATAGATTAGTTTTATTACATCAGTGTTTTTTCCACCAATATGTTTTTTAAGAAACAAGTCTTTTCATAAGCACAGCTATCAATAGAGCTAGATTTCAGCTAGGTTATCTGGTGACATAACTAACTAGAATCTAATAAATTGAAAGCTCTGCTCCAAGCATTTTGTTGCTGTTGTATTCAAAATGGAATTCTCCCCTGACAGATTTTCTAACGTCTCACAGGTATTAACCTCCTCTCAGTGGGGGCGCGTGTGACTGCCCATTCCCTTGAAATATCTTCCAGACATCCTGACAGAACAGGTCAGCAGATCCAAAGGCGTTGTGAAAATAGAACAGAGAAAAAAGCAGGCAGATGCACAGACTCAGCGTGATCAGGCGAGCCTCTGCTTCTAGCACAAGCGGGGTGAAGACACCGTGCAGGCACACACCCAGACCACCACTATACACATTTATATCATGCACCTGAACATGAGGCAGGAAAACTACATTCTCCTCATCAGGCAACTTTAAATGCAGGTTCTCCTTTGGAGCCAGCACGTCTGGCAATGATTAGACTTACTACATTAGGAGGCAAGCTGGACATGCGAAGCCACCCCATGCAGAAGTAAACATTTTAATTTCCATGTTCTCAAGGTAAGAGGCCTCAAGAGCAGATTTCTTTCTGAGGTGGGACTTGGACTCCTAACCAGTCTTTAAATTATTATGCTTTATCTTCTTGATGACCAAAGCCGATTGTTAAGGAGATGAGATGCTCCTTTTTTCACACTCCAGTAAGGATATTGGGAAAACTCATGCTCACATAGTAAGGAAAAGGCAGGGAGCATGTGTTGTGCTAAAGAGTTACAAAACTATTCACAAATACGAAATACCGTTGTGTCTTTACAAATTTATCAAGTTCCCTTTATAAGATAACATAGTAGGAGGGTCATACCAGAGTCAAAGCTATTACAATGCCTTAGGTTTTGTTTTGGGGGTTTTTTTTTGGTTGTTGTTGTTTTTTTTTGTTTTTTTTTTTGTTTGTTTGTTTGTTTGTTGTTTTTTTTTTTCCTACAAAGCTTACTTATCACATCTGTGTGAACATACAACACCAATTCCTCAAGTCACCTGTCTGCTCCACCAACACTGACAAGAGCAGCAGTAAGAATCCCAGACCCTCTACCCTCAAGGCAGTGAGGACAGCAACAGCCAGCATTGCTGCGCTTGCAGGTTCCTATGTGGAATTTCTTCCATTAGCAAGACCAGGTCATCAAGACACATTACAGCCCTTAGATTCCAACAGAACTTGTCAATATACGTGTATTTGTGTGTGCATGCAGATTAAAGAGGAAACAATATTTTGTAAAGTAAAGAGGTCTACAAAGTCTCAGTCTTCTCTGAAGCAATGAGGATAATAAACCTTGAAGGAAAGTCACCTCTCTCCAGAACTATTCACTACTGTATACTATTTCAGTGAAAAAGTGTTAGCACGATAGCCTGAAAAAAAACAAAATCAAACAAATCAAATCACCGTGCCCTTTCAATCCTTCCCTTATCTGTCTTTACATCAACTACCTAGATTTTAAGTCACAAATGTCTCTTTTGGGCTGAACAATAATAGTTTTATTTAGAAATGTATGTAAGCAGGGGAAGGAAAAATGAAAAAATTCAGTTGTTTTTCAGGTATAAGTACAATGTTACATCTTTACAGCCTTTAAAGAAATACAGCTTAGCAGTAGACAGCTGCACAACCAGAGTAACACCTCCATCTAGTGGCTTACTCATGCACCGTTAAGAAACCATGGAAAATAAATAGGAGCCAAATACAATTTTCAACCACATCTGTCGTAACACACACAGCATAGAACAACAAATGTGGTCAGCAGACACACTGCTGCTTACCTTTTATCTGGAAATAAGCTACCATATCATTACATTACAGTGAAAGCCATAAGTACAAAGTTCAGTAGACTATAACATAACATAATTCACCTTGGAAATTGATTCATTATATATGAAATCTTTACAATTTAACCCCCTCTAGTTGAGCTCAGCTGTTTTACTCAGAGATTTTTAGAAGAAGAAACACCTGGCCTGGATGTCTGAGCAATTTTTGGTCATCTTTGGATTCAGAAGTGATTTCAATCAAACAAAACCAACCCAATTAAAACAACATTATCAACATTCAACACAAACATACAGACAGCTACACTCTTTTTCTCACCTTTCTTCCCTTCTAGTAGCAGCACTGTTGAAGTTTTTTATTATTATTTCTTTACATCCAGCCTAACACTAAGAAACCTCCACTCAGAGCATGCAGAAACCCGTTCAGCATAAGGAGGTGGCTATGAGACAGGTCTAGCCTAAACTCAGGTGCAACTTTCCTCCTCTCTACCAAGCATCTCTCAGACCCTAGATTCCAGAAGGGGTAACAGCAGAGGATTTGCTGCAAATTTTAGTGGAGATTATAAACAACCAACCTTTTTTCTACTTAACTGTAGCATTAACCTAGCATCTCTCTCTTTGGTAAGGAGGAAAGTACTCTTGGTTATGTTTACCGTAACTGCTGACCTACAACATCCCCTGAATGAGCAACTGATTCTGAGCTAGGATCTTCGTAAAGACTTCTACAGAAACAACTTCATCCACATTTCATACGTGAAAATTTTTATCTTTGCAAATAGAACTTTCCTTACATTTATATACATTACTCTGACAAAGGAACACCAAGTGTGAATGATACAAGGTATCAGAACTCAAAAAAAAAAAAAAATAGTAGGGTACTATGGATAAAAACTCATTTAAGTCAAAATCATTTTGGAAAAAGAACATAAAGCAACATCTGCTAAGGGACAGAGAATGACATTCTAAATATTGTTTGAAGGAAGAACATTCCTCAGACCTATGTTACTATGAGAGCTTATATCTGATGTTCAAACAGAGAGCAAACATTGCCTAGGATGGTGGTCCAATATATTCCCAGAGGTGGAAGCAGACAGATTTCTTTTCCACCAAATAATCTCTGAACTGATAAAGGCAATATTATTTCAAATACCAGTTTGGTAATTAATGAGAATGCTACAGAGGAGCTGGTCCTAGAAAATAACCCTAGGTCAGGAAAACAAACAGATTGATTTTAAACAAACGGAAAAAAAATAAATTAAGGAACATCTTGTTACTAAATTTCTCGAATGCTAAAGGGCAAGCTTAATAAATGTGAGGAGCTGGTAAGTCAAAGGTATACTGAGCTCCTCAGATCCATTAAGTCAAATGTATTAAAACTACCAGGAACCTGTAACTTAAGCTGTGGTGAGGAACTAGAAAAGGTTCCAAACCCAAATGGATGAACCTGCCCTCACAGAACATTCTTCAGATGGCTCAAAGTCAGGAAGCATTTCAGTAACAATGTTCCGCAAGCAAACTTGAAATGAAGAACCTAGCATCTCAGACAGCAAAACGGAAGTGCCATCTCCTGTTGGATAACAACGTCATTTCTCTACAGTAGACAGCATTTCTTTAAAGTGATTTAAAAAATACCCATAGCGCACAAAACAAGCAGAGACTGGCAGATTGACCATATTAATATCCATTACTATTTAACCAGTGTGCCACCACGAGAGAAGGAAGGATGCTTTGGTCACACCAGAGCACATCTGCCATCACTCACCCAGACTAGCAACAGATTCATGATACCCAAGAGACAATTTTTATGAACAGCACCAATACACAGCAGTGGCAGGATAAAAGGGATGTTATGTAGAAACAGTGGCAGCAGTGTTTGCAATGAGCACAATCTAGCACACAGTGAGTCTCTGACAGTCTGACAGCCTTGGGTTAGCTAGGTACTATGTACTTTTCACTGTTAAAAAGTTGTGGTGATGGCTCATTTAAAATGCTGTATAAAATTCTAGCCAATCGTGTTGAAGGCAGACAAATCCACAATGGAAGTGGCAGTGAAGGGCTGTCAGAAGGATGAGAGGAATGGAGAGTCGATGCTGCAGAATGAACACTGCCTGATTAACTTAGTAAAACAATGGCTAGGAAAAGCCATAGCCACTCTCTATGAATACACCAGAGGTGTAAACAAAGGCAAAGGAAAATATCTATTTAAGCTTACATAACTGTTTAAGAGCTCTATAAAGTTCTTAAAGAGCATGTAGGAAGAGAGGTACAAATGTGTGCACTTCAGAAGGTTTCTACCATTAGAGAAACTTTAAACCTGCTAACACAAGCCAAGACAAGAAAGAAAAAATTCGGCTTGCATTAAGTTGGAGTGTGACCAGCCTATGAAAGGGGTTACACAATGTTATTTCTGCAATAGCAGAATACCAGATTTGTTAAACCAGCCTGCCAAAAAGACATGGAAAGGAAGTCATGTTCATTCGAGCACCAAGAATAATCCATAAAGTGAATTAGCACATCCTACAAGTGGGCATCAGACTAATGAAGACAGATTACCTATGGATTGACATCCCTTTACCCCTGCTAACTCCTCCTCCTCCACAAACTCTCTGGCCTCAGCCCCTTTCACATCACCAATCACATCTCTCTCCAATATACAAGCCAACGATTTTCACAAACTTTTGAAACTTTTACCTATGTGTTAAACCTTGCTGTAACTGGACAAGGTGTCCAAATAGCAGCAAAGAATAGAAGGCACAAAATGTTAATGGATGGCAGAGTCACACTAGTTGTGATCTACTGTTGCCTTGCAGGTGGGTAAGTTGAAGTGCAACTTGCTCAAGACCATACAGAGGATTTGACAGAGAGAAATACAGCATTCAGCTGTGAAACAGTCCAGTGTTGTTACTATTAAGATTATTCTTCTGAAATCAAAGAGAGAAGAAAAAAGCTAAGAAATTACATAAACGAAATTCTGTCACATTAAAACAAGTCAGTGATATAGCATACTTCAAAACAACAGCGTACAGCAAATGGCTGAAACTGATAAGGTTGGTACTTTTTAATCAGTTGCAGGCTAGCAAATCTAATGCCTAGTAACTTGCACTCACAGAATGGACAATTGGTCTTTTGAAAGCAACTGTTTGAGTCACTATTTACTACTCCTCACAACTGAAGAAAACAGACTCACACAGTAAAACAGATCGCTATCAGAAACATCCTGTCTCCTAGGTGGATGAGATCCCATACGTGAACCATTCCAAAAAAACAATACAATTAAGTTACTCTTTCATCCAGACCCTTACCAGTTTTACTTTAGAGGACAGACTCTCTGGTAGTTTTGTTCGCAGCTGATTTGTTTCTTTGAACGTAGCTGGAAATCCACTAAGGAAGGCCAAGTCTTGCATTAATACTAGACCTGGAACTTCTTTGTCTGTAGTCTAAAACCAAGAAAACAAAGTACAAAGACTTTTTTAAACTTACAGTAATTCACATTTATCTGTCAATCCTTCATCAGGTGACAGATTTAATAGTGTATATTTTGTCTCTTAACCCAAACTTCAAAACTGAAATAAGGGTTATTTTAGAATCTTTCACTTGTACTACATGTGAGTTATGGAAAGAGAATAGCACAGAAACTCTTTCTAAAAAATGTACAGAGGTTTAATATATACAAAACCTAATCAACATATTTTAAAAGTACATACCAAGTAACCTCTCCATACTATCTGTTTGCTGTTGTCTTTTAACATTCCAGAATGGGCAGCTTCAACTAGAATACATAAAATGCATTGCAAATCAAAAGCTGAAATTCACTTATTTCGTATAGTCTAGTAACTAATATATACTTTTGCAAATTAAAAAGATTTGGATATTTATCATGTGAAGAGTTGCCTTTATAACTGGTAAATAATTATTGATAGTAAAATCAACACCAGTGGTTGGGCTAGTGGGCGGTAGTTGTCAAGCACTACATATTAAACAAAATAAGCAGCCCATACCTGCTCTAAGATCCTACTTATATATGCTGAACACATGGATAATTTTGGTTTATGGTATGCAACCCTTTGAGCAAGGGCAGAACTTATGGCACAATATTTAAATTAGACTTCACAGCAATTAAAAGAGGATTTCTAAAACTAATCTTCCTCAGTCTAAACCTCAGTCTTCCGAGATTATCAGTGCAACACGGATAATCAGATACCAAACCTGTTTTGCAATAGTCTTTTAAAGCATGGAACTCTAATCATCTGTAATCAGTTGTCTGAGAGGCAGGCAAACAGTATCATTAATGTCATCATTTAGAGGAACAGACTGAGGGCAAGAGATGTTGAATGACTTGCTAAAGTCGAACAGAAAATTAGTGGCAGAGTCAGTACTGGACAAAAAACAACTAATTCACAGCAGCTTACTAAAAAGCTTCCTCTAGAAAACCGGCTGCAATCCAACAAATAGGTTCTTACCATCCTTAGGGCTATCAAAAACAATTACTGTCACGTTGGTAGAAGGATTTTTTGGTTTTGCTACAAAGAACATATTGTTAGCAGCTTGTAAAGCAGGATGAATGGACAGCAGGTCTTTCAGTGTGACATTGGTAGGCAGCGCAGGATCCAGGACAAGCATTGGCACTTTGATGCAGTGTGTCAGCAAACACTCCAGTTGCTTCTCACTACAGCAAAATACCAAAGGTGTATTTAGCACTAGCAGAAAATCTAAGACAAAAATCAGTGTTAGATGCAATGAGAGACGTTTTTCTAAAATCTGATCAACTATTTCTAACATCTGCTGGGGCAGGGTGAAATTACTAAAAGCATGCTTATTTTACTGTGGAAGGCAAGTATGTGTGTTACAGTTTAGTTCATTCCCATAACTGTTTTTTAAAGTTTCAAAGACTACAAAGTTTGCCCACAGAAGAGACCTTACAAAGATCTCTAAATAGCAGAACGACCAAGCCAAACAAGGAATAGGACAGACCAGGCCCTGCCACTTCCTGGCAGCAGAGGCACAAGAGCCTTGGCCCCTCCACAGACAATGACTTGCAGTTTCATGTATCAAAATGGCAGGTGAAAGCAATGCCGAAGAAGTCTTCATGCTTTTGAAGGATAAAACTCCAGGTACATATGCATTAAAAATACACACTTGGAATAGGAACTATGCCTAACCAGCAACGAGGGTATGTTTTCTGAACTTCAAAATCGTCACATTTTAAGAAGCTCATTCATATATGTCACAATAACATTACTTTTATTGAACATATATATTTTCATGCTGTCAACTTTTCTTGAAGTAACAGTAGGAAAGCATGCACAGGCTATAGAGAACCGTATCTCCCCAACTGGCATCTGCTTTCAGCTAACAATGAGTGGGGTATAATTTATTCCAATTTATGCCCAAACCCACAAAAACTCACCTCTTCTTTGTTGGTTCTGTTGCATTCTTTCCGAGGATTTCCCTATTACAAAATTAAAATAACTACATTAAATAACACTGAGTTGACAGTAAGGAATTAAGTGCAATTTCAGAGTGTTAACTGAGTCAGGGACGCATTGTGAAAGCACCGATAACCCAGTTATAAAACTGCCACCGCCTTGCCGAGATGCGCACGAGCTGACACACATGCCCCTCACTGCTCACCCTCGTGCAGTAGCGCTCAAAAATTCTTGGTTGTGCTGACAGCTGTGGCATCAGGACTCTCTTTAGTAATAGGATTTTCAGGTGTTATTATTAGATTACCTAATGC